TAGTTAAACATGTTTTCTATTTTTTATTGGGAAAAGAAAACTTCGAATATTAAGATAAAATGGACAAAATATATGCCCCGCCCACCCACCCCTTCTCAATTGTGATGAATGCTTTATTCATCGTGAGCCAAAGGGGGAAGTTTAGCTGCAAAATCCTCTTTTCCTTACAAGAAATTGCCATATGAAATATGTTTTTAAAAGAGTAGAATTTTTTAGAAAAATATTGATATATAAACATATTTCATATGATAATGTGTTGTAGAGAAATGAGGATTTTGCAATTAAACTCCGCCCTTTGGCTTAATTAGGAATGAAAAATTCATCACAATTGAGATCGGGCGGGTGGGTGGGGCTAAATTTTTATTTTGGTTTTTTTAATACATAGAGTTTTCTTTCAATAACAAGATGGTTAAACATGTTTCCTGTTGTTTGTTGGAAAAAAAAGACTTCGAATATTAAGATAAAATGGACAAAATATATGCCCCGCCCACCCACCCCTTCTCAATTGTGATGAATGTTTTATTCATCGTGAGCCAAAGGGCGTAGTTTAGCTGCAAAATCATCTTTTCTCTACAAGAAATTGCCATATGAAATATGTTTTTAAAAGGGTAGAATTTTTTAGAGAAATATTGATGTAAAAACATATTTCATATATGATAATTTCTTGTATACAAATGAGGATTTTGCAATTAAACTCCGCCTCTCTGTCCGATTAGGAATAAAAAATTCATCACAATTGAGATCGGTCGGGTGGGTGGGGCTGAATTTTTTTTGTTTTTTTTAATACACAGTTTTCTTTCAATAACAAGATAGTTTAACATGTTGTCAGTTTCTTATTGGGAAAATAAGACTTTGTATATTAAGATAAAACGGACAATATATAAGCCCCACCCACCCACCCATTCCCGGAGTTTAGTTACAAAATCCCTTTTCTCTACAAGAAATTGCCACATGAAATATGTTTTTAAAAGGGTAGAATTTTTTAGAGAAATATTGAGGTAAAAACGTATTTCATATGATGATTTCTTATAGAGAAATGAGGATTTTGCAATTAGGCTCCGCCCATCGGTGTGACAACGAATGAAAAACTCGTCACAATTGAGATAGGGGCGGGTGGGTGGGGCTTAATTTTTGTTTCTATTTTTTTTTTAATACATAGAGTTTCCTTTCAACAACAAGAAAGTTAAACATGTTGCCAGTTTCTTGTTGGGAAAAGAAGATTTCGTATATTAAGATAAAATGGTCAAAATATAAGCCCCGCCCACCCACCCGTTCTCAATTGTGAAGAATGTTTTATTCATCATGAACCAAAGCTGCAAAATCCTCTTTTCTCTACAAGAAATTGCCATATGAAATATGCTTTTAAAAGGATACAATTTTTTAGAGAAATATTGTGTTAAAAACATATTTCATAAATGATAATTTCTTGTAGAAAAATGGGAATTTTGCAATTAAACTCCGCCCGTCTGTCCGATTAGGAATGAAAAACTCATCACAATTGAGATCGGGCGGGTGGGTGGGGCTTAATTTTTGATCGTTTTTTTTTTTTAATATAGAGTTTTCTTTCTATAACAGGATAGTTAAACATATTGTCAGTTTCTTATTGGGAAAAGAAGACTTCGTATATTAAGATAAAATGGACAAAATATAAGCCCCGCCCACCCACCCCGTCTCAATTGTGATGATTGCTTTATTCATCGTGAGCCGAAGGGCGGAGTTTAATTGCAAAATCCTCTTTTCTGTAGAAACCCAAATCGAAAAATTGCAAAATCTAGAAAATTAATACCATGTTGGAATCAGAACGACGAAATCTATGTCAGATTTTTTGGAAATTTTTGGACAACTTTTTCAAAAACAAAATTTGTTAAATGAAAATTTCGACTAATTTTCGACAATTTTTGAAACTTAACAAAAGACATTTTCTTCTAAATTTCCACTTGCGAAAATTTCAACCAATTTTCGACAATTTTAACCAAAGATAGTTATCGATTTCGACCTCCAAAAGTTACTTTCCACCCCATTTCTTGTCTAGTTTCTATCATTTCAAATAAGAACACAAAAAAAACATCATACCTGCTAAGATAAGACTGATTTTTGCAGATAACATATCCTCTAACCCCGCCCACCTACTCTTTATTTTCTTTGAGGGAATACCATTTGCCAATATCAGTTTTATCTTAGCAAGTACTAACCCCACCCACCCGCCCGTTATTTTCTTAGAATGTATGTTATTTGCCAATATCAGCCTTATCTTGCCAAGCACTAGCTCGGCCCATCCGCCCTTTATCTTGTTAGAGGGTTAGTACCTAATAAGATAAGACTGATTTTCGCAAATGACATATCCTCCAAGAAAAGAGAGGGTGGGTGGGCGGGGCTACTACCTGCTAAGATAAGACTGATTTTTGCAGATGACATATCCTCTAACCCCGCCCACCCACCCTTTAGTTTCTTCGAGAGAATACCATTTGCCAATACCAGTTTTATCTTAGCAGTTACTAGCCCCACCCACCTACTACCTGCTAAAATAAAACTGATTTTCGCAAATGAAATACCCTCTAAGAGAGGAGAGGGAGGGTGGGTGGAGCTAGTACCTCTTAAGACAGGGAAATTTAAATAATTTAAAAGCATTTTTGGGGATTTTCGTGTTCTATTTTTGGGAAATTCTCAGTCTTAAGAGGTACTAATCCCAGTCACCCGCCGTCACTTTTCTTAAAGGGTATCTCATTTGCCAAAATCAGTTTTATATTAGCAAGTATTAGCCCCACCCACCCACCCTCTCTTTTCTTAGAGGGTATATCATTTGCCATATTCAGTTTTATCTTAGCAGTTAGTAGAGCCGCCCACCCGCCTTCTCTTTTCTTAAAGGCTATATCATTTGCCAAATTCGTTCTTATCTTAGCACTTACTAACCCCACCCACCCACCCTCTTTTTTCTTAGAGTGTATGTCATTTGCCAAATTCAGTTTTATCTTAGCAGTAACTAGTCCCACCCACCCACCCTCTCTTTGCTTAGAGGATATATCATTTGCCAAATTCAATTTTATCTTAGCAGGTAGTAGGCCCGCCCACCCGGCCTCTCTTTTCTTGGAGGGTATCCCATTTGGCAAAATTAGTCTTATCTTAGCACGTACTGATGACTAAAGTATTGTCTCAAACTCTTCCAGAAATTATACACCCCGTATTTTCGGTGCTTTTCAAACTTTTTTGTTTATTTTTTTTTTAAGAATTTATTTTTTTGTTAATTTTTGAAATAAAATATTTATCAGTTATGTCATGATTTGATTTTTCTTGTTGATGCTGTCCCCTTATGGTCAAAATTCAAAGGGATCATTATGCCCATGCCGAGGGATCATTTTACCTATAGGGATGCCTAAAATGATCCTTTTGTAAGGCCCTGGAAAAACCTTGATAACTTTTTTAATAATAATAATTTGTATTTTTTAAAGAATTTCTCCCTTAGGGGGATCATTTTAGGCACCTTTCCCCTACAAGTTTTCTTGAAGTTGAAGTACTAATCAATGGCAAATTTTGGTTTCATATGTCAATCATGTCAAGTTGACCATTGGGGAGTAAAGTGGGATGAAATTCTACCAATTATGCATGATCCTTTTTGACATTTCTCATTTTCATGTAAGCAGAGTGTAACATCAGGAATATATCAAGGTTCTATTCGGGTCCGACACTTTTTTCCTTATTTATTAATGATATTGACTCTAGTTTATGAAGCTACTTTGTTTATTTGCAGATTATATGAAGATTTATAGAGCAATCCGCAGTGAAAAACATATTGATGATCTTCAGATGGAGTTAGATAGTTTCTTTGGATTCTGAATTAACTTTTTATGATCATTATGATAACATGATTTCCAAAGCCAATAAAACTCTCGGTTGCTTGAGATGTTATGGGAAAGACTATAGGAACATTAACACTTCATACCGAATTATTGATATTGATCATCTTATTATAAAATAATAATATAAATGATGATTATTATTATTATTGTTATTAATGAAAGCACTCTTTCCTCCTCATTTGGGGAAACTTTTCGAATTTTCTTTGGGTTAATTTCGGCGAACCCCAACTGCGCCGAAGCTTGTTCACCTGAAGGTGAGTGCAAACTGCGCCGATTTGCAAGTTTTTTTGGAGTTTCGCATCAGCTGTTTTTTTAAATCGCTCAGCTTGGCAGACTACGCGTCTTCCCATCTTGTTTACATTAGCGAGTCTGGAGTTATGAACCGAGTTATGTTCGTTTAATTGGCTTGGTCCCTTTTAGGAGAGTTTATGGCTTGTTCTGAAGGCGGCGGCAGTTCAAATTCTTGTTATGTTATATGTGATATCTGGAGGTGGCGTCTTTGACACGTTCAAAGTTTAATAATGCTAGAAAGAAAGCGCGTTTTTGTAGTTGTTTGGTTAGCACCACAATGGAGTCAGTGTATTTAAATCCGTAGTAGTTCGGTGAGCACCTGCTTGTGGTTCTGAAACGTTTGTATTTGGACGAGAGTCGAGTAAGTCCGTGGTTTCGACATTCCTCGTGAGGTTTCCCAGGCAGGAGAACTTGAGGAGTTCGACTAGATAGATATAGAAAAGTACCGAGCGTAGCTTGGTCTTTGTTGTTTCTGGTGAAAAGAAGTGGATATCCGAGGCTGCGTGTGGGACGTTGCGTAGAACGAGCGAAAGACACGACCGAACGCATCGGTTTGTTTACCGCGGACGGTGTCGAGGTGCCGCATCCGGCCCACTGCACCGAAATAGCATCCTCACGCAGGCACCGCTGCATTCACGTTCGCCAGCCGGCGAGGTCGTGCCCGGAATACGCAACAAGCAACAACCCGACGTCGATGACGACGAAGTCGTTGACACCGGCCAAACGGGTACGTATGTAGTAATCGCGAAAGTGCGGTGCGGCGGCCAGCTCGAAATCGAGTGCACTCTCGGTTTCGACTGCTCGGCGGTTAAGGTAAAGGCCGCGACACTGACCGCCGCCGACGGCCCAACGAACCTGTCTGAAGACTCCGAGCTGTCGTAGCGGTCGACGCAGCGCTTCTTCCTGCAGTCGTCCTCCAGGAAGCCCTGCGGCTCGCCCAGCGCGCACAGCTCACCACCACCACCAGCACAGCAGAACGCGCCCACCACCTCACCACCGCTCGTCGCCATCGGTTGCGCTGTCACTGCGGTTACATCTTCGTCGACTGGCTCTCCCGAACACAACCCGTCTGCCATTTTGAGAACACACTGCCGTCGCCGCACGGCACGCCGATCCTCCTCCGGCCGAGCGGCGCGCGCCGCCGCGGGGCGGGGGCCTGCATGGGTGACGTCACGGCCCTTCCCTGCGTCAGCGCCGGTGCATGCGGCGCCGTTCATTGGCCAGCCCGCAATTACATAATTTACGCCGGAGCCGGCGTGCGGGTAATGACATCGAGGATGCACCGCGACGGGCCCGAAACGTCGGGACGGAGCGGCGCGAGCGCGGGCCGCCGGAACGCGGACGGTGCAACCTCCCGAGTCGCCGGAAGGAGATGTGGCGGTGGCTTTGGCGGCCTTGACCTCGCGGTTAAACTGTGAAGAGGGATACGGAGTGGACTCGGACGGGAGAGGTTGGAGAGTGGGCGATGGGTTTGCCGCCTCGTCGAAATGTGGACTATAAACAAAGTTTACGAGTGACGGTACTACTAGGAGGAACTCTCAGAACCAAAACAAAGGGGTTCCCGAGATTCCTTCGAACCATATCCCCGAGATGCTCCACATTATCAATGGATGAATTTTTACGGTGATAACTCCCGTACTTATGCTACCAACATTGCAAATAAAATTCAATTAGCTAAGCGGCGCAGTTAGACTTTTCCCATTTGTATTGCCATCAGAAATTTTACAAAAATAAAATTGATGTTATTTGCAGTAGTTTTTGTGTGCCTTATGATTTAAACAAATCAAAGACGGTGCAGTTTTAATTTGGTAAAAAAAAGTAGCAAACTGAGAAAAGGACTTAATTTTTGGAACATCGAAATATTCAAAAAAGACACAAAATTGTCTGCAAACGATGACTCCTACAGAGTGTTCCATAAATGAGTGGCACAGTGGAGGTTCAGCTCTGTCTAGATTTGGCGCTCATTTCCATCAAAACATTTACTATGGTACTATGGCATGCTATAATGCTGCTTTTTAAGGATTTTACCCTGTATATTTAAAAAGCAAAATTTTTTCAAATGTTGATCGAACAAAAATTCTCCGTTTACAAGTTATCAAAAATTGTTGACACAAATGGACTCGGAGAACAAAGAATTATGGATTCTCCGGTTCAATTGCCCAAATTGGAATTTAAAAATTACGCAAAGAAATTTAGAAGGTACAGTAGTGGTCATTTCTACGGAACCACTCGATAAAAAGTCAAGTTGGTAGCGCTGTCATGTAGTACTTTACGCCGAACGCGGTTGGTAGCGGTAGTTGACATGGCAATCGAAACTAGCACAACACGAATGTTTCGGTTGCCCTCAGCTATACCGCACTGTATCCCGTGCAGACTGTATGTTCTGTTCATCTATTTATTAAAATAAAATATCTACATTGACAATGGGGCCATCTAACCTGTCAAATTTTTGACACATGTTTTCCCCCAGAAACCCGTCAAGGTCACTTACACCAAACAAATTTTGAAAATTTACACTAGGGAGTGGTTCTATAGAAAAGATCGCGACTTTAAAATTTTACAAAACGCACTTCTAGATTTCGCACAAAACTCTTCTACAGCACCCTCTGGTCGCGTTCCTCATCTTCAAATGTTGTGCAAATGCTTCCTTTTGTCACAAAAAAATTATTAAATTTCTCATTCGTGAACTCTAATGGTCGCTATTGTTAACATAACCCAACTTTTTATGGTCATCAACACGCGTGGGTGTAATGTCGGTTTTTAGTGAAGACAGGGCGCTTCACACCCCTTTACAAATTAATGTACTCCTAAAAGTGGAACTTCTTGCTCCGACGATCATTTAGTTATTGGAATTCGTGTGATAATTGCTTGTATAGTTGGTTGCCTAAATTTGGCGCGAACCATATGGCGAACATTAAATATTTTTTTCTGACACAAGGGGGTATTTGTACAACTGTTGAAGGTGAGGAACGTGATCAGGGAGTGATGATGAAGAGTTTTGCGCAAATAGTTTGTGGGAAATCGAGAGGTGCGTTCTAGGGTCGAAAGTGACATTCATTTCCATCTCTTGGGTGGAAAGTGACAGATAGTGACATATGCTACTTTCTACCCTTGATATTGAAACGAAGTATGTAATAACTCACTTCCAAACTTTTAAAAAGTTTGAAAGTTTCACATTACAAATTTTCTAAACAACTTCATTGCTAAAAATTGGATAGCCGCAATTGTAATGTCCTCGAATAATTTCTTGAGGGATTCTTCGTTTGTTGGAAGATCAGGCAGCAGAATGTCCCCGCTGCCACTACTGTCGTCGCTTTGGAGCTCAATGATATCATGCTTGAGGTCGTAACAAATTCGTCATTGTGTCTGATTTTTGAAGTAGTTTAAAAGAATCTGGGGGACCCCTTGTGTCTGGTTTTTGAAGAAGTTTAAAAGAATCTCGGGGACCCCTTGTGTCTGGTTTTTGAAGAGGTTTGAAAGAATCTCAAGGATTCCTTTTGTTTCGGTTATGAAGAGGTTTGAATGAATCTCGGGGACCCTTTGTGTCTGGTTTTTGAAGTAGTTTGAAAGAATCTCGGAGGCTCTTTTTGTTTGAGTTCTGAAGAGGTTTGAAAGAATCTTTCGGGTCGCTTGTGTCTGGTTTTTGAAGTAGTTTGGAAGAATCTCGGAGACTCCTTTTGTTTGGGTTCTGAAGAGGTTTGAAAGAATCTCGGGGGGTCCTTGTGTCTGGTTTTTGAAGAGGTTTAAAAGAATCTCGGGAACCCCTTGTGTCTGGTTTTTGAAGAAGTTTAAAAAAATCTCGGAGACCTTTTGTGTCTGGTTTTTGAAGAGGTTTGAAAAAATTTCGGGGACTCCTTTTGTTTTGGTTATGAAGAGGTTTGAAAGAACCTCGGGAACCACTTGTGTCTGGTTTTTGAAGAGGTTTAAAAGAATCTCGGGGACCCCTTGTGTCTGGGTTTTGAAGTAGTTTGAAAGAATCTCGGAGGCTGCTTTTGTTTGAGTTCTGAAGAGGTTTGAAAGAATCTTGGGGGTCGCTTGTGTCTGGTTTTTAAAGAGGTTTAAAAGAATCTCAGGGGTCCCTTGTGTCTGGTTTTTGAAGAAGTTTAAAAGAATTTCGGGGACCCTTTGTGTCTGGTTTTTGAAGAGGTTTGAAAGAATCTCGGAGACTCCTTTTGTTTTGGTAATGAAGAGGTTTGAAAGAATCTCGATAACCCCTTGTGTCTGGTTTTTGAAGAGGTTTAAAAGAATCTCGGGGACCCCTTGTGTCTGGGTTTTGAAGTAGTTTGAAAGAATCTTGGGGACCCCTTGTGTCTGGTTTTTGAAGAAGTTTAAAAAAATCTCGGGGACCCTTTGTGTCTGGTTTTTGAAGAGGTTTGAAAGAATCTCGGGGACTCCTTGTGTCTGGTTTTTGAAGTAGTTTGAACGAATCTCGGAGGCTCCTTTTGTTTGAGTTCTGAAGAGGTTTGAAAGAATTTTTCGGGTCGCTTGTGTCTGGTTTTTGAAGTAGTTTGAAAGAATCTCGGAGACTCCTTTTGTTTGGGTTCTGAAGAGGTTTGAAAGAATCTCGGGGGTCCTTGTGTCTGGTTTTTGAAGAGGTTTAAAAGAATCTCGGAGGTCCCTTGTGTCTGGTTTTTGAAGAAGTTTAAAAGAATCTCGGGAACCTTTTCTGTCTGGTTTTTGAAGAGGTTTGAAAGAATCTCGGGGACTCCTTTTGTTTTGGTTATGAAGAGGTTTGAAAGAGTCTCGGAAACCCCTTGTGTCTGGTTTTTGACGAGGTTTAAAAGAATCTCGGGGACCCCTTATGTCTGGGTTTTGAAGTAGTTTGAAAGAATCTCGGAGGCTGTTTTTGTTTGAGTTCTGAAGAGGTTTGAAAGAATCTTGGGGGTCGCTTGTGTCTGGTTTTTGAAGAGGTTTAAAAGAATCTCAGGGGTCCCTTGTGTCTGGTTTTTGAAGAAATTTTAAAGAATTTCGGGGACCCTTTGTGTCTGGTTTTTGAAGAGGTTTGAAAGAATCTCGGGGACTCCTTTTGTTTTGGTTCTGAAGAGGTTTGAAAGAATCTCGGGGGTCCCTTGTGTCTAGTTATTGAAGAAGTTTAAAAGAATCTCGGGGACCCTTTGTGTCAGGTTTTTGAAGAGGTTTGAAAGAATCTCGGGGACTCCTTTTGTTTTGGTTATGAAGAGGTTTAAAAGAATCTCGGGGACCCCTTGTGTCTGGGTTTTGAAGTAGTTTGAAAGAATCTCGGAGGCTGCTTTTGTTTGAGTTCTGAAGAGGTTTGAAAGAATCTTGGGGGTCGCTTGTGTCTGGTTTTTGAAGAGGTTTAAAAGAATCTCAGGGGTCCCTTGTGTCTGGTTTTTGAAGAAGTTTAAAAGAATTTCGGGGACCCTTTGTGTCTGGTTTTTGAAGAGGTTTGAAAGAATCTCGGGGACTCCTTTTGTTTTGGTTATGAAGAGGTTTGAAAGAATCTCGATAATTCCTTGTGTCTGGTTTTTGAAGAGGTTTAAAAGAATCTCGGGGACCCCTTGTGTCTGGGTTTTGAAGTAGTTTGAAAGAATCTCGGGGATCCCTTGTGTCTGGTTTTTGAAGAAGTTTAAAAGAATCTCGGGGACCCTTTGTGCCTGGTTTTTGAAGAGGTTTGAAAGAATCTCGGGGACCCCTTGTGTCTGGTTTTTGAAGTAGTTTGAAAGAATCTCGGAGACTCCTTTTGTTTGGGTTCTGAAGAGGTTTGAAAGAATCTCGGGGGTCCCTTGTGTCTGGTTTTTGAAGAAGTTTAAAAGAATCTCAGGGACCCTTTGTGTTTGGTTTTTGAAGAGGTTTGAAAGAATCTCGGGGACCCCTTGTGTCTGGTTTTTGAAGTAGTTTGAAAGAATCTTGGAGGCTCCTTTTGTTTGAGTTCTGAAGAGGTTTGAAAGAATCTTTAGAGTCGCTTGTGTCTGGTTTTTGAAGTAGTTTGAAAGAATCTCGGAGACTCCTTTTGTTTGGGTTCTGAAGAGGTTTGAAAGAATCTCGGGGGGTCCTTGTGTCTGGTTTTTGAAGAGGTTTGAAAGAATCTCGGGGACCCCTTGTGTCTGGTTTTTGAAGAGGTTTAAAAGAATCTCGAGGGTCCCTTGTGTCTGGTTTTTGAAGTAGTTTGAAAGAATTTTGGGGACTTCTTTTATTTGGTTTTGAACATTGATTAAATACATATATGTATTTAATCAATGTTTTGAAGTAGTTTGAAAAAATCTCGGGAACTCCTTTTGTTTTGTATTTGAAGTAGTTTGAAAGAATCTTGGTGATCCCTTGTCAAGTTTTTAAAGTAATTTGGCTCTCGAACTCCTATGATGTGGAGACTTTTGTTTGAAGTATAATGTGATCATGACTAAAAAAATGCCATTGTTTTTTATTGAAGGTTGTAATCCGATGACATAAATAATGACCTTCGTTGTCACTAGATTTTTTTCAATTGTAACTTTATCCACAGCTTTCATAAATGATTTACACAGTCAAGTGGGCACTGATTTGTTCCGCCTCTTTCGGAATGTGTAACTATAATGGCAACGAAAGTTCAAATGTCATAATCATTCTGACACATGACATATTAGCCATATTAATTAAAACTTTAAAAATGTCCACTATTACTAAGAAGTGGCAAATCTACCAAACATTATTACTACACTTAAAAGATGTTTTTTTATATTTTGTGACTACAAAGTGCGCAAACTGAAACCATTTAACGACAAAGTAGCGAATTTATAAATTGGTCAAATTCTACTGTACTCAACTCTGATTGGCTAAAATTTGAAAATGTGGCGCGAATTACCCTCACAATCGTTCAAATATGCAATTACCTCCAAAAAAAAGTTTTTCCACCATTGAAATTTAATTTCAAAATCTAACCTCACTTTAAAAATCAGTTACAACCACGGTTGTAGAATAGATAGGTTTGTACACTAATGGCTTGGGATGGCGACGCTTCTTTTCGATCCCTATATCCATGGAAAGGACACATACAGCTAGCGCCTCTACCGTGTCGAGCGGAAATCATTCTAGTTATTTTGGGGATTTTCGTTTACATTGCTTTATGAACAATACAAAATTTGTATATGACATTTGATCGGAGTCGATAAGTACGATTTCTTTTATTAATTACATCGGTTATAGATAGATGCCTATAGAGTTCTGTGTCCCTAAAACGTCAAAAACCAGGCGACGCGATCGACAATTGGCGTCGCTGACCAGGGATATGCAAATGTATGCTAGTGTATCAACCTATCTATTCTACAATCGTGGTTACAACAAAGCGGCTTGTTTGGGAGCAAAGTGGGCGTTGATTTGTGCCGCCTTGTCACAATAGAACAGAAACCACTTATGAATTTTGGACACTATTCAAAACACATCCAACATCCTATTATTTTTGGCCGAATTATGTTTTATTTCTGGATGTTCACAACCTCCATGTCCTTAGGACCGAAAATGAGAAACTACAAAGTGAAGCAGTCAAACAACTATATTAAAAACCGTGCACAACACTTAAATACAGAGATATTCTATAAAAAGAATAATACTGAAAAGTACAAACACAAGTTAAAAAAAAATATAAATAAATTATAGGAATATACGGGAATAAAGTTCAGCACCATATAAACTAGTGTAAGAGTTAACAATAGGACGTACGATTTACTTATTTGATTATCTGCATAAATTAAAACATCTTTGGAAGCAACTTTAGCAACAATATTATAGTTTATAACCTACAATAAAATGTCTATAACAAATTACATAATATCACGATGAAAGCACTTTTTTTTAATAGCGTAACAATCAATAATTTATTGTAATTATTCGTTGACCTTGACAAATGCATTCAGTATAGGAATGTGTATGGAAGCAACCGTTACAACTGTCATTCCATGTGTCAAACTACTAAATGACAGCGTCTTATGCGTCCGTTTTGTACCAGCTAGAAGGCGTTTAAAGCCACGTTTGTAGCAGCAATATCGTCAGTTATGTTCCTATTTAATCTTAAGGACGGTACTATGCTATAAAAAATAAAAATCTCTTTAAAACATTAATATAAAAAATACTTGTATAAAATTCTCCACTAAACCTATTTAGGTCCACAAAGACGTAGGCATTATCCCCTCCACTGACGCCACAGCGGGCATCAAATACTCCTCTTTCAAGAAGTTTAAAGGCAGCAAAACAAGATGACCCTGAAACAATTTCAGTTATAAATTTTCAAGCGCCACCTGTCGGACAATAGCTAAAAAATCGTTCCCGATTATCATCAGTTCCATTTAAGTCACAAATACCTGAATACTCTCCAACATTTTCTCCGCTCTCGAAATCTCGTCAATATACAGCGGCTTCTCCTCATGGCTCCGTTTCAAGTCCGCGAACGTTTCCACCTTATCAGTCGGGATGCAATGGAAGACTTTCTCGTAAAACTCCGTATTCAAACTGGCAGTTTTGTACCAGATCTCCTTATAAAAATAATCCGAGATCGGGTCAGTGATATCGAAGTCGATCATCTCGTGCTCTTTCCCCAACAAACCCAAGTGCTCTTTGAACAGATATTTGCGCAAACTGCCCGCGAATTTCCCGCACGGGAAACTCTTCCCGTTCATCACACCGTCGTCGAAGGCTTCGTCCTCGATCAAAACCGCAATTTCCGAGTCCCTTTTGCCGATGAGAGAGCGATCGTTGATGTTGGCTGAGCCACAAATCACGATTTTGTCGTCCACGATCATGAGTTTGGAGTGGACGTAGACTAATTCGGTTATGGGTTCGCAGTTGAGGGTGGAGTGGTTCCTGAGGCCGTAGAAGGAAATGTAGTCGGTGGGGTCCTCGATCCCGTAGTCTTTGAGTCGGTTGAGGATGGCGTCTTTTCCCCTAGACAAATTTGGGTGAAGAGTCACCAACGCTGCAATTTAGTAGTTATACGTACTGCGATATTGAGGCGTAGTTCCAGTGCGTGATGGCGTGCAACGACGTCCCCGTCGGGCCGCCCACTTCACCTTCAAATCCAGGCAATAAAGGCATTATGACATAAACTCTAAACACTTCTTTGGCTCTAAAATAACAACATTAGTTAAAATTTTTTGTTTGTTTGTTTGTTTACTAACTTATAGGCTCGAATTATTCGCTTGTAGAGAGCTTCGGCTATTTGATTCTTGGTGTGCGGGTTGCTATAAGGCAGTGAGATGAAAAACTGGTTCTCTATATAAATGTAATGTTGAGCTTTATTAATTGTGTCAATGTAGGCTTCGTGAATGCTTTGCTCAACAGTATCTGGTTCTAAAAAACCACAAGACCATGTACTAACACTTCGAAGGACCTGTACAAGACAAACACAACATGTAGAGCTTTTTCTAGTAGGCTGCGACGATTTAACACCACGTGATAGCGAACAGATGGCGCTGTGATGACAGTATGATCATGGCCGACTGAGATTCAGCATAATCAGTGGCGTATCACGAAAAGTATTTACCCACCTGGCACGTGACGTGGTGCACTTCATTCGGGAACACCACCGGCAGACTTTTAAAATCGTCGTAGTTTTTTGGCAACAAGTACGGATAAGTCTTATTCGATTTGGCCTTCTCCAGCTTGGTGGCGTTCCACCTCTGGATGAAATGTCTGGCGACGTCCCTCGCCGCCGCCCCCTGGACGCACATCCCCACGTCGTGCCACGGCATCCTCGGCGTGGTCACCCGGTCGATGAAGTCGTCGAACGGCGAGTCCAAATTATTGAAATCTTTGACTATGAAATTAACGTAGTCCTTCCCCACCCATAGTTTCGACGATCCGTTCAAAGTCTCCAGGATTTCCTCGGGAGTTTGATCCTTCTTCTCGGGGGGTTCCTTCTCGTCGACGCTGTCCTCGTGCGAGGTGTAGACTAAACTAATAAGATCTTTTCCTTTGCTTTTGACCGTGTGTTTAATGGCGTCTATCACATTTTTGCGCTCCATGTTGGGAGTATTGCACTTGATTTTTTCGTTGAAGGGCATGAGGAGGTTGTCGCCGGGCTCGAGCTGCGGGAGGGGGCTGGAGGGCTCTTCGGGGGGCTCGGGCTCGGTCACCTCGGGGATGGGGGTTTGTTTGTAGATGGGGATGGGGATGGGGTAGATGGCGTCGCCGCCAGGCACGCTGGAGGTTTTTTTCTTCAGGGACGAAACGTCGAGGGTGGGGGTTATGCTACCGAGGTCCACCAATCTGCCACAACAAAAAAATTACGTAAAAAAATTTCACTTTCTATAATAAATTGATTGATTGATTAATTAATTTTTTTCACTAGCAGCCAGGACGCATGCAAATGTCGACTCATTTAGTGGTAGCAAATTCAACTTTTGCGACCACCGGTTCAAAAAGAAAAATTGAGGTTATGTACGCAATGTTTAATGTGATTATTTCTTAAAAAATGAACAAATGTGTGCTACAAACATTACTTGAGTATACGCATGGTAGTTGGTAGACGGTAGAAGATAAAATGATTAACTCAGCGACAAGTATAAACGGTTTTCTTTGTGTTGAAGATTTAGATTAAGTTTGATTAGGAATCAAAACAAAATCATGTTGCGTCAAAAAATTGAACGTTTTTTTTTTTCAGTTTATTGTCTTATGGTTTCTACTAGTGAAAAAAATAGTATATTAACCACGGTTGCAAAGCCACTTCTAGACCTCGCGCTTCAGAGCCCTCGACGCTGCGCGTCTCGGGTTCTAATTTGCGCTCGGTCTAGAATGCTTGGCTCTGCAACCTTGGCTAATAATATACTATTTTTTTGGTTACCTCGTATAAACAAATCTAAAAAATATTAATGCAGTGTTAGATCACAAGTATACACTCATCATACTTTGTACATTTAAGATTAATTAAATAAAATAAAAAAAATAAAATAAAAATTAATTCATTTTTTCAGCAAAATTTTGGGGCGGCGTCATCAAATTTTCAGGGGGGATGAGCAATACATTGTGATCCAAAATTTACAATATCTATGATAACTTTAAAACATCTCCACGATTTTAAAGCATTCGATTTTGTAGTTTCTGATTAAATCAATAAAATAAATTCACGCACTCATTAATTTTTTTGAGTCACCTGTATATCCAAATCCAAAAAATTATATTTTGTACATTTTAAATAGGATTTATTCAGCAAAATTTTGGGGTGACGTCAATTTTTTATCTTAGTAAGTACTAGCCTCCCCCCTCTTCTATTTCAAAGGACTAATTTTACTTCTGTTAAGTATATGGTCATTTATTTGATTCAGATCGGATAAAATCGATCACTGAAAAAGAGGCAGGGTGGGTGGGCGGGGACAATTATGTTTTTCTGTCGAGTGGGATTGGAAACTAATAATAGAATCTAGAATAGTTTAATGAAAAAAGTAAAAAAAAAAACCTAATCGTATTTTTTTTTTGTTACACTATTTGCTATAAAATTTATTTGTTATTTCATGCATCTGACCTGACTCGACCTACCGTGATCTGACCACTTCTAGTTAGAAAAATAGTCGAAAATGTCAAAAGTGAAAAAATCAGTTTTATCTTATCAAATATTAGCCCCGCCCACCCACCCTCTGTTTTTTTGGAAAGTACTTGATTTGCCAAAATCAGCCTTATCTTAGTAAGTACTAGTCTCCCCTCCTCTTCTATTTCTAAGGACTAATTTTACTTCTGTTAATTAAAAAGTCATTTATTTGATTCAGATCGGATAAAATCGATCACTGAAAACGAGGCCGGGTGGGTGGGCGGGGCTAGTTATGTTCTTCTGTCGAGTGGGACTGGAAACTAATAACAGAATCTAGAATAGTCTAACGAAAAAAGTAAAAAAAAAAAATGCTAATCGTATTTTTTTTGTTATACTAATTGCTATAAAATTTATTTGTTTTTTCATGCATTTGACCTGACTTGACCTACCGTGATCTGACCTCTTTTAGTTAGAAAAATAGTCGAAAATGTCAAGTGTCAAAATCAATTTTATCTTATCAAATATTAGCCCCGCCCACCCACCCTCTGTTTTTTGGAAGGTATTTGATTTGCCAAAATCAGCCTTATCTTAGTAAGTACTAGCCTCCCCCCCTTTTCTATTTCTAACGACTAGTTTTACTTCCGTTAAGAATAAGGTCATTTATTTGATTCAGATCGGATAAAATCGATCACTGAAAAGGAGGCAGGGTGGGTGGGCGGGGCTAGTGATGTTCTTCTGTCGAGTGGGACTGGAAACTAATAATAGAATCTACAATAGTCTAATCAAAAAAGTAAAAAAAAAAGGCTAATCGTATTTTATTTTTGTTATACTAATTGCTATAAAATTTATTTCTTATTTCATGTATCTGACCTGACTCGACCTACCGTGACCTGACCTCTTCTAGTTAGAAAAATAGTCGAAAATGTCAAAATCAGATTTATCTTATCAAATATTAGCCCCGCCCACCCACCCTCAGTTTTTTGGAAGGTATTTGATTTGCCAAAATCAGCCTTATCTTAGTAAGTACTAGCCTCCCCCCTCTTCTATTTCTAAGGACTAATTTTACTTCTGTTAAGTAGTTATAAGGTCATGTATTTGATTCAGATCGGATAAAATCGATCACTGAAAAGGAGGCAGGGTGGGTGGGCGGGGCTAGTGATGTTCTTCTGTCGAGTGGGACTGGAAACTCATAATAGAATCTACAATAGTCTAATCAAAAAAGTAAAAAAAAAGGCTAATCGTATTTTATTTTTGTTATATTAATTGTTATAAAATTTATTTCTTATTTCATGTATCTGACCTGACTCGACCTACCGTGACCTGACCTCTTCTAGTTAGAAAAATAGTCGAAAATGTCAAAATCAGATTTATCTTATCAAATATTAGCCCCGCCCACCCACCCTCAGTTTTTTTGGAATGTATTTGATTTGCCAAAATCAGCCTTATCTTAGTAAGTACTAGCCTCCCCCCTCTTCTATTTCTAAGGACTAATTTTACTTCTGTTAAGTAGTTATAAGGTCATGTATTTGATTCAGATCGGATAAAATCGATCACTGAAAAAGAGACAGGGTGGGTGGGCGGGGCTAGTTATGTACTTCTGTCTAGTGGGACTGGAAACTAATAATAGAATCTAGAATAGACTAATGAAAAAAGTAAAAAAAAAAATGCTAAACGTATTTTTTTTTGTTATACTATTCGCTATAAAATTTATTTGTTATTTCATGCATCTGACCTGACTCTACCTACCGTGACCTGACCTCTTCTAGTTAGAAAAATAGTCGAAAATGTCAAAAGTGCCAAAATCAGTTTTATCTTATCAAATATTAGCCCCGCCCACCCACCCTCTGTTTTTTGGAAGGTATTTGATTTGCCAAAATCAGCCTTATCTTAGTAAGTACTAGCCTCCCCCCCTCTTCTATTTCTAAGGACTAATTTTACTTCGGTTAAGTATAAGGTCATGTATTTGATTCAGATCGTATAAAATCCATCACTGAAAAGGAGACAGGGTGGGTGGGCGGGGCTAGTTATGTTCTTCTGTCGAGTGGGACTAGAAACTAATAATAGAATCTAGAATAGCCTAATAAAAAAAGTTAAAAAAGGCTAATCATATTTTTTTAGTTATACCATTAGCCATAAAATTTATTTCTTATTTCATGCATCTGATCTGACTCGACCTACCGTGACCTGACCTCTTCTAGTTAGAAAAATTGTAAGATCGAAAAACTGAAAAATCAAAAAATTTCATAATCGAAAAACTAAAACGTGGAAAAACTGATACACAGAAAAATCGAAAAATTATAATGTGTCTAAAAATCAAAAAATGGGAAATCGAGAAACTGAAGACACCAAAAATTGTAAAATTCGAAAACTGAAAACCTGACAAATTAAGAAATGAAAAATTCCAAATCGAATAAAAATTAGAAAAAGCAAAAAATTCTAGATGGAGAAATTGCAAATCGAAGAAATGAAAAATCAAAAAATTAAAAATCGAGTATGCACCTGAAAAATCTAAAAATCGAAAATTTGAGAAGTTCCAAAAAAGTGAAAACCTTTAAACTGATAACTCGAAAAATCGCAAACAGAAAAATTGTAAGATCGAAAAACTGAAAAATCAAAAAATTTCATAATCGAAAAACTAAAACGTGGAAAAACTGACACACAGAAAAATCGAAAAATTATAATGTGTCTAAAAATCAAAAAATGAGAAATCGAGAAACGGAAGACAGCAAAAATTGTAAAATTCGAAAACTGAAAACCTGACAGATTTAGAAATGAAAAATTCCAAATCGAATAAAAATTAGAAAAAGCAAAAAATTGTAGATGGAAAAATTGCAAATCGAAGAAATGAAAAATCAAAAAATTAAAAATCGAGTATGCACCTGAAAAATCTAAAAATCGAAAATTTGAAAAGTTCCAAAAAAGTGAAAACCGTTAAATTGATAACTCGAAAAATCGCAAATAGAAAAATTGTAAGAACGAAAAACTGAAAAATCAAAAAATTCCATAATCGAAAAACTAAAACGTGGAAAAACTGACACACAGAAAAATCGAAAAATTATAATGTGTCTAAAAATCAAAAAATGGGAAATTGAGAAACTGAAGACACCAAAAATTGAAAATTCGAAAACTGAAAACCTGACAGATTTAGAAATGAAAAATTCCAAATCGTATAAAAATTAGAAAAAGCAAATAATTGTAGATGGAAAAATTGCAAATCGAAGAAATGAAAAATCAAAAAATTAAAAATCGAGTATGCACCTGAAAAATCTAAAAATCGAAAATTTGAAAAATACCAAAAAGGTGAAAACCTTTAAACTGATAACTCGAAAAATCGCAAACAGAAAAATTGTAAGATCGAAAAACTGAAAAATCAAAAAATTTCATAATCGAAAAACTAAAACGTGGAAAAACTGACACACAGAAAAATCGAAAAATTATAATGTGTCTAAAAATCAAAAAATGGGAAATCGAGAAACTGAAGACACCAAAAATTGTAAAATTCGAAAACTGAAAACCTGACAGATTTAGAAATGAAAAATTCCAAATCGAATAAAAATTAGAAAAAGCAAAAAATTGTAGATGGAAAAATTGCAAATCGAAGAAATGAAAAATCAAAAAATTAAAAATCGAGTATGCACCTGAAAAATCTAAAAATCGAAAATTTGAAAAGTTCCAAAAAAGTGAAAACCGTTAAATTGATAACTCGAAAAATCGCAAATAGAAAAATTGTAAGAACGAAAAACTGAAAAATCAAAAAATTCCATAATCGAAAAACTAAAACGTGGAAAAACTGACACACAGAAAAATCGAAAAATTATAATGTGTCTAAAAATCAAAAAATGGGAAATTGAGAAACTGAAGACACCAAAAATTGAAAATTCGAAAACTGAAAACCTGACAGATTTAGAAATGAAAAATTCCAAATCGTATAAAAATTAGAAAAAGCAAATAATTGTAGATGGAAAAATTGCAAATCGAAGAAATGAAAAATCAAAAAATTAAAAATCGAGTATGCACCTGAAAATCGAAAATTTGAAAAATACCAAAAAGGTGAAAACCTTTAAACTGATAACTCGAAAAATCGCAAACAGAAAAATTGTAAGATCGAAAAACTGAAAAATCAAAAAATTTCATAATCGAAAAACTAAAACGTGGAAAAACTGACACACAGAAAAATCGAAAAATTATAATGTGTCTAAAAATCAAAAAATGGGAAATCGAGAAACTGAAGACACCAAAAATTGTAAAATTCGAAAACTGAAAACCTGACAAATTTAGAAATGAAAAATTCCAAATCGAATAAAAATTAGAAAAAGCAAAAAATTGTAGATGGAAAAATTGCAAATCGAAGAAATGAAAAATCAAAAAATTAAAAATCGAGTATGCACCTGAAAAATCTAAAAATCGAAAATTTGAAAAGTTCCAAAAAAGTGAAAACCGTTAAATTGATAACTCGAAAAATCGCAAATAGAAAAATTGTAAGATCGAAAAACTGAAAAATCAAAAAATTCCATAATCGAAAAACTAAAACGTGGAAAAACTGACACACAGAAAAATCGCAAAATTATAATGTGTCTAAAAATCAAAAAATGGGAAATTGAGAAACTGAAGACACCAAAAATTGAAAATTCGAAAACTGAAAACTTGACAAATTTAAAAATGAAAAATTCCAAATCGAAAAACTGAAGAAACCAAAAACTGAAAATCGAAAAGTTGGAAAATTAAAAATTCAGAAGCTGAAACGATATAGAAAAAAATCAAAAAATTGGAAAAACGAAAAATAATATTTAGAATTCCAAAATCTGCAAACTGAAAAATTGAACATATTAAAAATTAAAAAAATCCAACTGAAAAAGTAAAAAATTTAATATTGAGAAAAAGTTCAAAAAGTGATTATTTTAAAGATAAAAACAAAAGGTTGCAAATGGAAAAATGTAAAAAATGAAAAATTAAAAGTCACTAACTGAAAAATCAAGAAAATAAAAAATTAGAAAATTATAAGATGATGGAAGAACAGAAAAATCAAAAAATTGAAAAATCGAAAAATTGGAGAATCTAAAAAATAAAAATGGAAAGACTGAAGCATCGGAAAAACGAAAAATTGTAATATCTAAAAGTAGAAAACTAAAGATACGAAAAATCGAGAAATCCCAAAAATGAAAAATTTAATAATGAATAATTATTGAAAAATTGTTAAAAAGAAAAATTGAAAAATCGAATTATTAAAAATTAGAAACGCAAAGTCGAAAAGAGAAATATTGAAAAACGAAAGAACTAATAATTATTTGAAAATGTCAAGTGTCAAAATCAATTTTATCTTATCAAATATTAGCCCCGCCCACCCACCCTCTGTTTTTTGGAAGCTATTTGATTTGCCAAAATCGGCCTTATCTTAGTATGTACCAGCCTCTCCCCCTCTTCTATTTCTAAGGACTAGTTTTACTTCCATTAAGAATAAGGTCATTTATTTGATTCAGATCGGATAAAATTGATCACTGAAAAAGAGGTAGGGTGGGTGGGCGGGGCTAGTGATGTTCTTCTGTCTAGTGGGACTGGAAACTAATAATAGAATCTAGAATAGACTATTGAAAAAAGTAAAAAAAAATGCTAAACGTATTTTTTTTTGTTATACTATTCGCTATAAAATTTATTTGTTATTTCATGCATCTGACCTGACTCTACCTACCGTGACCTGACCTCTTCTAGTTAGAAAAATAGTCGAAAATGTCAAAAGTGTCAAAATCAGTTTTATCTCATCAAATATTAGCCCCGCCCACCCACCCTCTGTTTTTTTGGAAGATATTTGATTTGCCAAAATCAGCCTTATCTTAGCAAGTACTAGTCTCCCCTCTTCTTTTATTTCTAAGGACTAATTTTACTTGTGTTAATTAAAAAGTCATTTATTTGATTCAGATCGGATAAAATCGATCACTGAAAAAGAGGCAGGGTGGGTGGGCGGGGCTAGTTATGTTCTGTCGAGTGGGACTGGAAAGTAATAATAGAATCTAAAATAGTCTAACAAAAAAAGTAAAAAAAAAAAAAAAACGCTAATCGTATTTTTTCTTGTTATACTATTTGCTATAAAATTTATTTCTTATTTCATGCATCTGACCTGACTCTACCTACCGTGACCTGACTACTTCTAGTTAGAAAAATAGTCTAAAATGTCAAAAGTCCCAAAAATTTACCATGTTTATGATAACTTTAAAACATTTCCAAGTTGTCAATGCATTCGATTTTGCAGTTTCTGATTAAATCAATAAAATAAATTCACGCATTCATTGCTATTTTTTTGAGTCACCCTGTATACGCAAATTCAAAAAATATGAATGGAATGATAAATCACGAGTGCAGACCCATTATATTTTGTACAATTTAGATACGATTTATTCAGCAAAATTTTGGGGTGACGTCAATTTTTTAGGGGGGATGAGCAATACATTTTGTAAAAAAAAAATGCTTATGATAACTTTAAAACATCTCCAAGACTTAAAAGCATTCAACAATCGGTCCAGTACTTTCGAAAATTATCTGTCTAATTAAAATCCGGGACGGCAGACAGACGGACAGACAGATAGACAGACGGAAACGGGAAACCTATTTATTTCTTCGTACTGTAGGTGTGCTCAAGTGAGGATTTTGAGACATTTAAAAAAATTAATATAATTAAATTATAATAAATTTAAGCCGCAGGTTAAAAAATTACAGTTACATGGCGAAGAAAAACCAATCCATCAACCTTATAATAAGACTACATAAAACCCGTAACTTTATTATTTTTATGCGATTACCCAACCAACCTCACGCAATCCAATTTTCATCACTTACCTATGCTTAGCGTCGTCCCAGCGCCCATAACACAAATCGATCCCTCCCACGAAAGCGTAAGTCTGGTCCACAACGACCATTTTTTCGTGGTGGGCCCACAAGAACACCCCCACTCGAGCATGATCCGGGTGCCTCAAAACCTTAATATTTTCCGACAAATCGGCCAATTTCTGCTTACTGTAGTAACTATTGAGACCTAATGCCACTTCCACCTCTTTGTACAACAACACGAAAATTTTAACCCCACTTTGCTGCAAAACAACGCAAACAGGTGTAAAATATATGCAAAAGTCGATTTTCGCGACTCACAGCTTTCCGTTTTAACAAACTATCCAGCCTCCAGTGGTCGCCACAAATCGCAGGTCGCTTCATATATATCTCGGGACTCAGCCACCAATCCGTGATGAACACCTCCTCTCGGGCGTTCTCGATGGCGTCGGCGACAGCCGACATGTAAGTGGCGCCATCTACGAACCAAGAACACGGGATGGTGGTGCGCACGGGGGCGAATGAACGATGGGGATTGGGTAAGCTGAAACACTGAGCTAAACTATACTTAAGTAACTCCAACAAAAACCCAAACAACCTGGACCGGAGGCTATTTCTTTGAGGGCTTCCACCCACTCCCGACTCTTCCGTCGCGTCCAACACTTAAACGCGATTTGTCTACTGAGAGTGATTATCTGGAAGCCTGTTTCCAGCCCCATGGAGTACAAACCAGAGGAAACCTCGAACCCTTGGTCGAACAAAACCACGCTTTTGATCATCCCGTCTTCAGGGTTGATGTAGCCGAAACACGTATCTTTGATGAAAAACCAGCGCTCCACCCAGCGCGCGCAAATAATATCGTTGCACAAGTGCTGACATCTGTGTAAATTGGGTGAAATTATTTGAGGTTAGGTGACTGGAGCGATGGCTGTACCTTACGCAGAAGAAACAACTGATAAGGCCGCAACAGTTGCAGCCGGCTTGACCCGGATGGGTGCTCCCGGTGCGCTTTTTAACCATGCCTTCTTTCCCTTTGGAACCTAAACCCTGGATGAAGGATAACTGCGACACTTCCAGAAATTCGATCTAAAATAAGACAGTCACGATTTTGGGGTACAGGAAGAGGGGAATTACAGTCGCTGGGTGGTTTCGGTAGATGTTGATGGAGAGTAGATTGTTGAGATAATTTTCGAGTTGTTTAATTCTGTCGCCGAGTTTTTCATAAGCTACTAAAATTTCGGGCTTTTTGGGGAACCTAGAAATATGCATCAAGTAGCTACTTTTTTAAGTAAATTTATTCCAGATTTTCAACACACTGTATAGGATTAACTTCACGTTAATTGAAATTGCTTGTGAACGGATGAAACAATTGAACTGTGTCATGTCCTCCAAAAAATTTATTTAATGGTGGACGGACACGCCAAGGTTATACAAACAATGTCGATCACTGCCATCACGATTAACAGAAATGTGACATTACTAAAACAAACAAAGTGATCACACTGTATGTATAATTGGTATGTAAATAAAAAAAAAGTCATATTTTTTGGTTCTGGCGTCATAAGAGGTTCGAACGTCATTTCTGGGGTCTGATATGGGTCAGTGTTGGGACCTTTGCTATATTTACTATTTATAACGACTTGTTGCGTGCGCATCTGTAGTATAATCTTGTACTTTTGCAAAGATAACGCGAATATAAATAAAAATCTGGCGCAGCTGCAGCAAACATAAACAAAATTAATTAAATAAATAATCGTCGGTTTATAAACAACGAACTATTTATAAATTCCAACAAAGCAAAATTTAATCTGTTCTCAAGCATCTGATAAAGTCAAGATTAGTCTTAAATTTAGTCGTAGAAAAATTTTTTCATGAACCCAATTAAAAACTTACCAGAATTGCGACATTGTTTAAATATTAAACACCTTAAGGCTAAAACGAGGATTTCCGTCCAAATAATCAACTTAAACAATCTAATTCTTAAATCTCGTCAATATTTAATCAAGATATTTGGAGAAATGAGTCGTAAAATTGGGTTTCTAGAATTCGGACAAGCGATTAAGATAAGAACTGGAAATGAAGCATCCTTATATCTCACAAATCGTCTCTATTTTATATCTGTATTTGAAGTGTGTGTGAAGTAACTTTTGGGAACCGCTGAACTCGCACACTTCCACGAAAAACAAATAAAATACAAAATCGAACAAACAAAATAAAAACGACAATAACAACACTAATACCCAACTAAACCATAAACTAGGGTTTAAACTTAAACCCAGACACCATAAACCTGGTAACAAAATTCGGTCAGCGGTCCTCAACATTTCAACACCCTAAACAAACAATCAAATTTTTGCCCATACCTTGGCAGAGCCGCCTTCCTTTTCCCTTTCCCAGCTTTAGGAACATTCATTTTAAAGCTCTTCCTCTTTCTTTTGTGCGTTTTACTGGGAAAGGGTATGTTCAAGCCAGTCCGGAACAGCACCAATTGCTGGTGCAAGTGCTGGATTTGCTTGTACCTTTTTTTAATTTGCCAGGAAAAATTACCATGGGTGAGAGAAATGGTGTATCTACAAACACACAACTAAATTCTGTTTTTGAATGTAGGGGTAACCCACAAATTGGGGTTGAGCATATGTGTGGTCAAACTCCTCTCATAGTCCGTAATAGTCACGGAAATATCAACTGGAGGAATAAAAACGCTCCTTTTGAACGACTTGAACTTAATTGGTGGTTTGTGGATGGTTTGGAAGGACAGTCCATCAATAACATCATCTTAAATTTTTTTTGGTTAATTGTAGTTTGACCAAGCGGGGGTTTACCTTCGATTTCGTCGTCTGAGCGCTCAATGGCCACTGGTCCGTCCCCCACATCCACGATCACGTACGTCTCCGGCACCCCCAATTCGTCATCGAAGTCGGAGCCCCCCAGACTGGGTCTCGTCAGCGACACGTCGTTGGTCTGCCCCGTTTCGTCCTCCTCCTCCATTCTAAAAAACAAGCCAAAAACCAAAATGAACACACGTGTACCGAAAAAACCTGAATTACTCGATTATGTTAACAGTTGACATGAAGTACTTCTGATTTGGCTGGAAAGTGACGAAAAATTCGCGGTTTGTTATCTTATCTTAGACAGGCTTAGTCAGAACAGCGGGGATTATTGTAATGCTACAGTTCTAACCTAACACGGTGAAATTGTTTACGTTTTGGTTGATTTTAAGCAGGCAAATTTGAACGAAAACTTACGTGCGTTGGATGGCGGCCTCTGTTTTCGACTAAATGGTTATAAATAGATGCATGGGGATTGGGTCGGTTAATTAAATAGCGTGCCTCTGATGTAATGTTGTCCTGAGAATTTATTGAGTAATCAGGAAAATTGGAGTATGGTTGGAACCACAAAGAAGTGGACGACCATGAGCTGGGTGCGCCGGAATGTAGGCAACACACTTTACGACATACTTACACGATATGCAAAAGGGCGCTGGATTCCAGCGGCGGCGCGGGGTTTTTGGAGAAAGGGGCACCAGTAGAGAAGAAATTGGGTGAAAGTTGTTTCGACAGAACTTCCCTAGTCCAACAAATACAACTTCTTTCCACATAATTTTCTTTGCAAACGTCATTAATATTATTATTTAGTATTAATTCAGTGAAATGTAAAAATTTCTAGAATTGAGTAAATTTTTGAAATTTCCCGAAGTTCCAGATTTTCTAAATAATTTCAACATTTTCCTCAGTTTTCAAGATTCTAGGTATTACAGATTTTTTACACTTTCTAGACATTTCCAGATTTTTTTAAATTAATATACCCCAAGAATTAATAAATCTTCGAAATTTTTGGAATTTCTGGAATTTTTAGAATTTCTGAGATGTGTAAGATAATAATTAGGGTGTTCAAGGCCCCTTTTACTTGGAGGATTTATAATACATAATTAAAACTATTCTTCAAATTTTTGCGATTTTTAGATTTTTAGGATTTTTGTTTTGTTTAGAATCTTTGGAATCTTTAAAATTTTTGTCATGTTAAAAGTTCATGCGTTTTTTACAACTGATAGAATCTTTGAAATATTTGGAACAGAATTTTAAAAACCTTTTGAGTCCTGAGAGTATATAGAATTTTTAAAGTCCTTCGACAATTTTTGTAAATTTGGATTCTAGTGTATGAAAACTTTAAGATTTTTAGAATATGTCTTTAGAATTTTTCAAAGGTTTGCAAGCTTTACGTGTAAACTTTTGAAATTTTGAGATTTAATATTTTTTATTTTCTTTTAATTTTTGGGAATTTTCGTAATTTGCGAAATGTTCAAAATTTCCAGAATATTCAGAATTTCCAAATAGCCCAATTTTCCAGATTTTCCGAAGTACACAAAATTTCCACATTTTCCAAAATTTCTAAAATTACCAGTTATACCAGAATTTTGAAATTCAACCTTTTCCAAATATTTTCAAGATTTCTGCCACATTTATCCCACATTTTCTAATTTTTTTTTAGATTTTCTAAAATTTATAGATCTCAAGGGTCTAAATTTTTGGAATTTTTGGATTCTCTTAAAACTTTAGAGTCTCCAAAATTTATAACAAAATAATTAGAGTGTTCAAGGCCTTCAGTGCTTTCAGGATTTATGAAAATTAAAGAAAGCATTTTTCCGATTTTTAAGATTTTTAGATCTTTAAGATTTTTGTTTTCTTTGAAGTCTTCGGAATTTTTAAAATCTTTGGGCATTTTAAGAGTTCACGCGATTTTTACAACTTTTAGAATCTTTAGCATTTTGAAATTTCTCTAGAACCTTTAGAATCTTTTAACTAATCGAAACAGAATTTTAGCTTTTGACCCTTAGAGTCCCTAGAGACTTTAGACCCTTTAAAGCCTTTAAAATCTTTAGTCTTTAGACTCTTTAGAGTCTTTCCAATCCATGAAAGTTTGGATACTTAAGAATTACTAGAAATTTTATAAAGTTTAGAATTTTTATAATTTCTAGAAACATTAATACTTCCAAGATCTTTGCAATTTTTGAAAAGTTTGAAAACTTTTAAATATGTATTTCAAACATTTGGAAACTTTGGAATTTTAGAATATCTATAATCTTAAGATTATGTAAACCTTTGAAATTTTGAGATTTAATGTTTTTTATTTTCTTTTAATTTTTGGGAATTTTCGTAATTTGCAAAAATTTTCAAAATTTCCTGAATGTTCAGATTTTCCAAATAGCCCAATTTTTCAGGTTTTCTGAAGTACACAAAATTTCCACATTTTCCAAAATTTGTAAAATTATTTATTATAGCAGAATTTTGAAATTCAACCTTTTCCAAATATTTTCAAGAATTCTAGGTCTATCACATTTTTCCCACACTTTCTAATTTTTTTTTAGATTTTCTAAAATTTCTAGATCTCAAGTGTCTAAATCTTTGAAATTTTTGGAATCTCTGGAATCTTTACAGTCTTCAAGATTCATAAGATAATAATTAGGGTGTTCAAGGCCTTCAGTGCTTTCAAAATTTATAAAAATTAAAGAAAGCATTCTTCCGATCTTTACGATTTTTAGGTCTTGAAGATTTTTATTTTCTTTATAGTCTTTGGAATTTTTAAAACCTTTGGCATTTTAAGAATTCACGCGATTTTTACAAGTTTTAGAATCTTTGGCTTTTTGGAATTTCTCTAGAACCTTTAGAATCTTTCGAGTATTCGAAACAGAATTTTAGCTTTTGGCCCTTAGAGACTTTAAACCCTTTAAAGTTTTTAAAATCTTTACTCTTTAGACTCTTTAGAGTCTTTCCAATTCATGGAAATTCGGATATTTTAGAATTAGTAGAAATTTTATAAGGTTTAGAATTTTTATAATTTCTAGAAACATTAATACTTCCAAGATCTTTGCAATTTTTGAAAAGTTTGAAAACTTTTAAATATGTATTTCAAACATTTGGAAGCTTTGGAATTTTTAGAATATCTATAATATGAAGATTATGTAAACCTTTGAATTTAATATTTTTTATCTTCTATTAATTTTTGGGAATTTCCGTAATTTGCAAAATGTTCAAAATTTCCAGAATGTTCAGATTTTCCAAATAGCCCAATTTTTCAGATTTTTTGAAGTACACAAAATTTCAACATTTTCCAAAATTTTTAAAATTATCAGTCATACCAGAATTTTGAAATTCAACCTTTTCCAAATATTTTCAAGATTTCTAGGTCTACCACATTTTTTCCACACTTTCTAAATTTTTTCAGGATTTTCTAAAATTTATAGATCTCAAGAGTCTAAATCTTTTGAATTTTTACAGTCTCAAAAATTTATAAGATAATAATTAGGGTGTTCAAAGCCTTCAGTGCTTTCAGGATTTATTAAAATTAAAGAAAGCATTTTTCCGATCTTTACAATTTTTAGGTCTTTAAGATTTTTGTTTTCGTTAAAATCTTTGGCATTTTAATAATTCACGCGATTTTTACAATCTTTTACTTATCTTTGGCATTTTGGAATTTCTCTAGAACCTTTATAATTTTTCAAAAAAAAAAAAAAATTCGAAACAGAATTTTAACTTTTGGCCCTTAGAGTCCTTAGAAACTTTAGACCCTTTAAAGCCATTAAAATTTTTAGTCTTTAGACCCTTTAGTCTTTCCAAACCAGATTTGGATACTTAAGAATTACTAGAAATTTTATAAGGTTTAGAACTTTTATAATTTCTAGGAACATTAATATTTCCAAGATCTTTGCAATTTTTAAGATTTTGTTGGATGTTTCTTCTATTTAGAACCTAAAACTTTAGTTTATTTCGCATCTTCGGTGTCTTTATAATTCGCAGATTCTAGTGTATGAAAATTTTAAGGTTTTTAGAATGTGTCGAGTCGTTAGAATTTTTGAAAGGTTTGAAACTTTCTAAATATGTATTTCAAACATTTGGAAACTTTGGAATTTTTAGAATACCTAACATTGTGTAAACTTTTGAAATTTTGAGATTTAATATTTTTTATTTTCTTTTAATTTTTGGAGATTTTGGTAATTTACAAAATTTTCAAAATTTCCAGAGTGTTCAGATTTTCCAAATAGCCCAATTTTTCAGATTTTCCGTAGTACATAAAATGACCAGAATTTCCACATTTTCCAATATTTCTAAAATTATCAGTTATAGCAGAATTTTGAAATTCAACCTTTTCCAAATATTTTCAAGATTTCTAGGTCTACCACATTTTTCCCACACTTTCTATTTTTTTTTTAGATTTTCTAAAATTTGTAGATCTCAAGAGTCTAAATCTTTGGAATTTTTACAGTCTCAAAAATTTTTGAAAAGTTTGAAACTTTTTAAATATGTATTTCAAACATTTGGAAGCTTTGGAATTTTTAGAATATCTAAGACTGTGTAAACTTTTGAAATTTTGAGATTTAATATTTTTTATTTTCTTTTAATTTTTGTGAATTTTCGTATTTGCAAAAATTTTCAAAATCTCCAGAATGTTCAGATTTTCCAAATAGCCCAATTTTTCACATTTTCCAATATTTCTAAAATTATCAGTTATAGCAGAATTTTGAAATTCAAACTTGTCCAAATATTTTCAAAATTTCTAGGTCTACCACATTTTTCCCACACTTTTTAAATTTTTTCAGATTTTCTAAAATTTATAGATCTCGGGAGTCTAAATCTTTGGAATTTTTAGAATCTCTGGAATCTTTACAGTCTCCAAGATTTATAAGATAATAATTAGGGTGTTCAAGATCTTCAGTGCTTTTAGGATTCATAAAAATTAAAGAAATCATTTTTCCTATCTTTACGGTTTTTAGGTCTTTAAAATTTTTTGTTTTCTTTAAAGTCTTTTTCAGATTTTCCGAAGTACACAAAATAACCAGAATTTCCACATTTTCCAAAATCTCCAAAATTATCAGTTATACCAAAATTTTGAAATTCAATGTTTTCCAAATATTTTCAAGATTTCTAGGTCTACCACATTTTTCCCTCACTTTCTCGATTTTTTACATTTTCTAAAATTTATAAATCTCAGGAGTCGAAATCTTTGGAACTTTTGGAATCTCTGGAATCTTTAGTCTCCAAGATTTATAAGATAATATAATTAGGGTGTTCAAGGCCTTCAGTGCTTTCAGGATTTATAAAAATTAAAGAAAGCATTTTTCCGATATTTACGATTTTTAGATCTTTAAGATTTTTGTTTTCGTTAAAATCTTTGGCATTTTAAGAATTCACGCGATTTTTACAATCTTTTACTTATCTTTGGCATTTTGGAATTTCTCTAGAACCTTTATAATCTTTCAAAAAAAAAAAAAATTCGAAACAGAGCTTTTGGCCCTTAGCGTCCTTAGAGACTTTAGACCCTTTAAAGCCATTCAAATCTTTAGTCTTTAGACGCTTTAGAGTCTTTCCAAACCAGATTTGGATACTTAAAAATTACTGGAAATTTTATAAGATTTAGAACTTTTATCATTTCTAGGAACATTAATATTTCCAAGATCTTTGCAATTTTTAAGATTTTGTTGGATGTTTCTTCTATTTAGAACCTAAAACTTCAGTTTATTTAGCATCTTCGGTGTCTTTATAATTCCCAAATTCTACTGTATGAAAACTTTAAGATTTTTAGGATGGTCGAGTTTTTAGAATTTTTGAAAAGTTTGAAACCTTTTAAATTTGTATTTCAAAGATTTGGAAACTTTGAAATTTTTAGAATATCTAAGATTGTGTAAACTTTTGAAATTTTGAAATTCAATATTTTTTATTTTCTTTTAATTTTTGGGAATTTTCGTAATTTGCAAAATTTTCAAAATTTTTAGAATGTTCAGATTTTCCAAATAGCCCAATTTTTCAGATTTTCCGAAGTACACAAAGTTTTCATCTTTTCCAAAATTTCTAAAATTATCAATTATGCCAGAATTTTGAAATTCAACCTTTTCCAAATATTTTCAAGATTTCTAGACTACCACATTTTCCCCTCACTTTCGAAATTTTTTCAGGTTTTCTAAAATTTATAGATCTCAGAAGTCTAAATCTTTGGAATTTTTGGAATCTTTGGGATCTTTACATTCTCCAAGATTTATAAGATTAGGGTGTTCAAGGCCTTCAGTTCTTACAGGATTTATAGAAACTAAAGAAAGCATTTTTCCGATTTTTCCAATTTTTAGGTCTTTAAAACTTTTGTTTTCTTTAGTCTTTGGAATTTTAAAAATTTTTGGCTTTTTGGAATTTCTTTAGAACATTTAGAATGTTTCGAATATTCCTAACACAATTTTAGCTTTTGACCCCTTTGAGTCCTTAGAGTCTTTAGAGCCTTTAAAATCTTTAAAGTCTTTTGAATATTTAGTCTTTAGAGTCTTTCGAATCTGCGAAAATTTTGAACACTCTGGGAATCACTATGAGTTTTATAAGGCGTAAAATTTCTGCAATTTCTAAGATCATTAGTACCCCCAGGTTCTTTAAAATTTTTAAGCTATTGTTAGACCTTTTTTAGATTTAGAACATTAGAACTTTAGTTTATTTAGAATCTTAAGTGTCTTTAACCATTTACAAATTCTAGTGTACCTATATAATCCGTAACCACTGGAAATTTTGGAATCTACAGAATCTCAAAAATCTAGTATCACTAGAATTTCTATGATCTTTAGAGATTTCGGATTTTCATTATTTTTAGATCTTCAGGATTTTTATCATCTTTCCAATTTTTAAATATTTAGAATTTGTGGAATCTTCGGAAGTTTTGAAATCCCTGAAATCCCTTTAGAATTTTTAAATTGCCGGCTCCTCTAGCTTTTTTAAATTTTTTGAAATTTCTGAAACCCTCTAGTCCTTAGAGTTTTTGGCATCCTTGGAAACCTTAAAACCTTTGAAAGGGTTAGAATATTTGGGACTTGTCTAATAAAAATGGATATAGACATCAGACAGACACACAGACAGGCAGACAGACGGACGGAAACGGGAGACCAATTTTTCGTACTCTAGAGGCCAATGGACTCGATTATTATACTTCCTTAGGTTACCCTCGCGGAGTAAAAAGACGAACTTACCTTGATTATGAAGCACACTTTTTCCTGATAATTCATTCTCCGAAAATGAAGTTGTATTGTTACGTATTTGAGGGATTTATCTTCCAAAAACCCTCAATCTTTGACACGTACTTATTTAATTGTGCGCAAACATATTACCACGAATTAGGTCCTAATCTGTGCTAATATTTAACTAAATAATACTCCAGCATTCACGAATTCGTATACTTAAACCTCTCAGCCAAAAACATGTTCCTTTCGTGTCTGACACCCAAAACAACATGTTCATATCTCTGGTCCCTTTATTGCTCATTTTTTCCCATTTCGCTGCATCCCAGTCCCAGTTTTTAGTCCCAGATTTAAATTACTTACAAATAATCCAAATCTTGCAGTCGGTTTTAGCACAACTACCCAACAACGAATGCACAAATCATTTTTCAAACTTCGTACAAGCACTAAGAACGGGGGAAACATGGGCCTTAACTAGTAAGTAATAAGACTCTAGAACCAACTATGCATAAAACGTTTATTAGTGCTAGACGCAACTGCCAAACCTCAAGCCGGCATTCTCCTGGGAAACATCATGCACGTGGGAAACTACGACGAGTGTCTAGAAATAGACCAAAAGGTCAAAACAAACCGAATTCAAGGTAAATATTGTACCGCATTTTTCGGAGCGCATCCGAAATACGGAACCGGACTGAGCAAATTGTTGGATGAACTAATGGTGACTACGAAAACAACCCCAAATTGTCTGCTTACTCGTGGTTTTAGGGCGATTTCACCAGGAACGAAGACGAATACCAACTCACAGAGGACGCCAGACTGTCTTACGGGTGGTGTGTACCTAAGGCATGCACTGGGGCGAATTTACAAAATTTGGCAGATGTTTTGGAAAATATGACCATGTCTCCGCTGCATTTCACTTTCGACGACAAGTTCTGCGACGGTGGAGACCCTAGAGAATTTTCATCTTGGGCAATTTTTGCCATGTACTACTACCTACTAACTTTAAAAAAAATTCAGTAACGTTTTAATTGTAGTGTGGTGTTTTCGCTCTTTGCTCTACTTCTTGTTTTTGGTACCATGTACGACGTCATGGTGTTCAGAAAAATTTCAGACTACAACAAGGAACCAAATTTGCTGATGGCTTTCTCTGTTCTGGCGAACGGTAAAAAAATGTTGTCTGTATCCACAGCAGAAGGAAGTTTAAACTGTTTGAATGGACTTCGAGTAATAAGTATGATGTGGATTGTGTTGGCGCATAGTTTTCAAACTTCGTTTTTCGTTCCGCACGTAAATGGGAAAGAATTGATGGTAATAATAATAATAATCATAAAAATCAAAAATCTGTACTAACAATTATTAGACGTGGAAAGATCGTACCGAGAACTCATTTATCGCAGGAAGCTCAATGGCTGTGGACACTTTCTTTACCATTAGTGGGTTACTAGTGGTCTATTTATACATGAAAAGTCAAGCCAAAGGTACCAAATTTTCCCTACCCATGTTCTACATACACAGGATTCTGAGGTACTAAACCCCTTGATCGACTTTTTGCGAATCATAAAATTCCAGACTAACTCCATCGCTAGCAATGGTTGTGCTATTCTCAGCGACGTTACTCAAACACATGGGCAGAGGCCCATTTTGGCCCATCGTGGACGAAATGTTCCAGAAGCCGTGCGAAGAAAACTGGTGGTCCACTCTGATCTATTTACAAATTTTTATCAATCCAGATAATCAAGTAAACGTTTGAAACTGTGGTACCAACTAGGTACTTCATGTGTCTGTTTTAGTGCGTAGGACAAGCTTGGTACTTAGCTGTGGACACCCAGATGTACTTTCTGTCGCCTTTGATATTTTTCCCTCTCGTGAAGTGGCCCAAACAAACTATTGGTGCTATCATGACGTACGTGGTTGTCAATTGTGGCTACGTTTTCGGAATAACGTGGGTGAAACACCTCGGTACCACTTTTTTGAAGTACGTTTTCATTTTTTTGGTTATTTATTAGTTTTAATGGTTTGTCTTCCAGTCAAGACGCCACCCAGTATAATTATTTGTACAGTCCGACTCATGTTAGAGGTACTGTGTACTTAATCGGGATGGTTTGTGGGTACTTAGTTTACAAAACTAGAACTAATCCTCTTAAATTAACTAAAACAAAAGTAACTACATTGTGGTTATTTTCTTTGGTGACACTGGTTGCTGTAGTTCTGGGTCATTCATCGATGATTTCGGCTCCTGAGTACAACGTTCTGGACTCTTCGTTCTTCAATTCGTTGACAAGAGTGGGCTGGGCGATAGCATTGTCCGTTATAATTATACTATGTGTCAACGGTTACGGTGGTCTAGTCGATTCTTTTCTCTCAAACACAATCTTCAACGTCTTAATTCGACTAAACTACAGTATTTACCTTCTTCATTTGAACGTACTAATTTCAGTAGCAGCTCAAGGTCGAGCTCCCACGTACTTTGCCAATCTACTAGGGGTATAATAGTCTTTCTTTTCTAAGTCTAGTCTAACTTTTTCTTTCAGTTCCACCAGTTTTGGGGTGATTATATGTTTAGCCTTGGCGCTTCAGTGTTATGGACCTTGGCGTTTGAGTCGCCTGTCATAACAATAGAAAGGATTATTTTTAACACTAGTATGTTATCTTGAAGAGTAATAATTAAGTAATTACTGATTGTTTGCAGAAAGTTCAAGTAAAGCTACGACTGATATAAAAAACACCAATGGAGACGTAGTCGCTATACAAATTGTGAACAATTTAAAAAATGACACAAACTTAGCTAAGTCATAACACTACAAACCCCAATAAAAATGTCAACAATGTTTTATTTATTTGGCATGCTATAGTGAAACGTCACCTTATAAAAAAATCAACAATCTAATTTACCATTTTAGATATGTTGTTCTGAAAAGACGACTACGTATATTAAGAAACAAGGCAAAATATAAGCCCCGCCCACCCACCCTGTCTCGATTCTGATGATTTTTTTATTCGTCGTGAGCCAAGAGGGCGGAGCTTAATTGCAAAATCATTATTTCTCTACAAGAAATTACCATCTAAGAGTATAGTGTTACTCAAAGAATACTATGTACATATATTAAGAAAAAATTAAAGCCAAAGATTAAGTCTGACCTATACCTGTCCTGATCTAATAAATAGTAATGAAATTTTTTTTCGTTGGCAGACCTAAATCCATATTTACTTACAAAAATTTACCATTTTAAACGTTCCTTAAGTTTCTAAGAATAAAAAAAATCATCACAATTGAGATGGGGTGGGTGGGCGGGGTTTATATTTGGCCTTTTTTCCTTAATATACATAATATTCTTTAAGCAACACTATACTCAAAAACATGTTTTTAATTTCTTGTAAAAAAAATAAGTATTTTGCAGTTAAGCTCCGCCCTATTAGTTCGCTGCGAATAAAAAAAATCATCACACTCGAGACAGGGTGGGTGGGCGGGCTTACATTTTGCCTTTATGTTTTAATATGTGTAGACTTATGTTTACAACATGAAAAACATGCTCAAAAAGGAAAATTTGTATCAGGAAATATCGATTTGGCAATTAGGCTCCGCCCTATAATTACAAAATATATATTTCCTTCCAAAAATGTGCCATTTTAACCATGTTTTATGTTTCTTGTTGTGAAAAGATGGCTATGCATATTAAGAAAAAAAAAGCCAAATTATAAGCCCCGCCCACCCACCCGATCTCAATTGTGACGATCTTAACTGCAAAATCCTTATTTTTCCTACGAAAAATTAAAAACATGTTTTTGAGTATCGTGTTGTTTAAAGAATACTACATATGTATATTAAGAAAAAATTAAAGCCAAAGATTACCTACTACCCATATCTGACCTGATCTAAATATGTACTCCTAGTAATGAAGTTTTTTATCGTTGCCAGACCTAGGGGCGGAGCCTAGTTGCAAAATCCACATTTCCTTACAAAAATCTACTATTTTTAAACATGTCTCAAGTTTCTAAGAATAAAAAAAATCATCAGAATTGAGATGGGGTGGGTGGGCGGGGTTTATATTTTGCCTTTTTTTCTTAACATACATATTCTTTGAACAACAGGATACTCAAAATCTTGTTTTTAATTTCTTGTAAAGAATAAGTATTTTGCAGTTAAGCTCCGCCCCCTTAGTTCACGGCGAATAGAAAAAATCATCACAATTGAGATAGGGTGGGTGGGCGGGCTTACATTTTGTCTTTTTGTTTGAATATGTGTAGACTTATTTTTACAACATGAAACACATCCTTAAAATGGAAAATTTGTATCAGGAAATATCGAGTTGACAATTAGGCTCCGCCCCATAATTACAAAATTTATATTGCTTTCCAAAAATGTACCATTTTAACCATGTGTTATGTTTCTTGTTGTGAAAAGATGGCTATGCATATTAAGAAAAAAAAAGGCAAATAATAAGCCCCGCCCACCCACCCGATCTCAATTGTGACGAACTTAACTGCAAAATTCTTATTTTTCCTACGAAAAATTAAAAACATGTTTTTGAGAATCGTTTTGTTCAAAGAATACTATGTATATTAAGAAAAAAATAAAGCCAAAGATTAGGCCCCACCCATACCCGCCCCAATGTCAATTCTCAATTGTGAAGAGTTTTTCATTCGTTGTCAGATCGACGGGTGGGGTTTAATTGCAAGATCTATATTTGTCTAGAAGAAATTACCATTTCAAACATGTTTTAAGTTTCTTCTTCTGAAAAGGCGACTACGTATATTAAGAAACAAGGCAAAATATAAGCCCCGCCCACCCACCCTGTCTCAATTCTGATGATTTTTTTTATTCGTCGTGAGCTAAGAAGGCGGAGCTTAATTTGCAAAATCCTTATTTATCTACAAGAAATGACCATGCAAGAGATGTTTTTGAGTATTGTGCTCTTTAAAGAATACTACATATATGTATATTAAGAAAAAATTAAAGCCAAAGATTACGTACTACCCATATCTGACCTGATCTAAATATGTAGTAATGAAGTTTTCATTCGTTGTCAGACCTAGGGGCGGAGCCTAGTTGCAAAATCCACATTTCCCTACAAAAATTTACCGTCTTAAACGTGTTTTATGTTTCTAAGAATAAAAAAGTCATTACAATTGAGATGGGGTGGGTGGGCGGGGTTTATATTTTGCTTTTTTTTTTCTTAACATAGATATTTTTTGAACCACACGATACTCAAAAACATGTTTTTAATTTCTTGTAAAGAATAAGTATTTTGCAGTTAAGCTCCGCCCTCTTGGTTCACGGCGAATAAAAAAAATCATCACACTCGAGATAGGGTGGGTGGGCGGGCTTACATTTTGCCTTTATGTTTTAATATGTGTAGACTTATTTTTACAACATGAAGGACATGCTTAAAATAGAAAATTTGTGTCAGGAAATATCGATTTGGCAATTCGGATACCAATTGCCAAATACATATTTCCTTGCCAAAATGTACCATTTTAACCATGTTTTATGTTTCTTGTTGTGAAAAGATGGCTATGCGTATTTAGAAAAAAAAGGCAACTTATAAACCCCGCCCACCCACCCGATCTCAATTGTGACGATCTTAACTGAAAAATCCTTATTTTTCTTACGAAAAATTAAAAACATATTTTTGAGAATCGCATTGTTTAAGGAACACTATGTATATTAAGAAAAAAAATAAAGCCAAAGATTAGACCCCACCCATATCTGCTCCGATCTCAATTCTCAATTGTGATGAATTTTTCATTCGTTGTCAGATCGAGAGGCGGAGCTTAATTGCAAGATCTATATTTGTCTAGAAGAATTTACCATTTCAAACATGTTTTAAGTTCCTTCTTCTGAAACGGCGACTACGTATATTAAGAAACAAGGCAAAATATAAGCCCCGCCCACCCACCTTGTCTCAATTCTGATGATTTTTTTTTATTCGTCGTTAGCTAAGAAGGCAGAGCTTAATTTGCAAAATTTTTATTTATCTACAAGAAATGACCATGTAAGACATGTTTTTGAGTATCGTGTTGTTTAAAGAATACTACATATGTATATTAAGAAAAAATTAAAGCCAAAGATTACGTACGACCCATATCTGACCTGATCTAAATATGTAGTAATGAAGTTTTCATTCGTTGTCAGACCTAGGGGCGGAGCCTAGTTGCAAAATCCACATTTCCCTACAAAGATTTACCGTCTTAAACGTGTTTTATGTTTCTAAGAATAAAAAAGTCATTACAATTGAGATGGGGTGGGTGGGCGGGGTTTATATTTTGCTTTTTTTTTTTTCTTAACATAGATATTTTTTGAACCACACGATACTCAAAAACATGTTTTTAATTTCTTGTAAAGAATAAGTATTTTGGAGTTAAGCTCCGCCCTCTTGGTTCACGGCGAATAAAAAAAATCATCACACTCGAGATAGGGTGGGTGGGCGGGCTTACATTTTGCCTTTATGTGTAGACTTATTTTTACAACATGAAGCACATGCTTAAAATGGAAAATTTGTATAAAAAAATATCGATTTGGCAATTAGGCTGCGCCCCATAATTGCAAAATCCATATTTCCTTGCTAAAGTGTACCATTTTAACCATATTTTATGTTTATTGTTGTGAAAAGATGGCTATTTCTGATGATTTTTTTTATTCGTCGTAAGACGAGCTTAGTTGCAAAATCCTTATTTTTTCTACAAGAAATAAAAAACATGTTTTTGAGTGTCGCGTTATTGTTCAAAGAATACTATATGTGTATTAACAAAAAAACAAACCAAAAATTTAGCGCCACTCAAGTTGACAGCACTGCACACTACCGCAATTTGATTGGTTGAAAAATCGACCTTAGCGTACCAACTCAACAAACTCCAACAATTAACAGTTCTAACACTAGTTAGACGTATGTTGGGTTGCCGATTCTTTGCAAACATTGTATGTTTGTAGACCGCAACTAATTTCATTCTGAGATTACTGATTTGATTATTGTCTTATTATTTAAACAGATATATTGTATTCTGGTGTTCAGTTTTATTTATTTTTGGGTGGTGACAAGTGACAACTTTGACAGACCGAGCCAACTTCACCCCCAAGATTGTTCAAAATGGTTTTTTGAGTGGATTTTTTCACAGAAAACCGTAATATCGACGGTAATATCTTAAAATTTTGGTCTATTTCGACCTTGGCGTATACAAATCCCTATAATATTACCTATTCAGAAAATAATACTTTGTTATCAAAAACGTCAGCCTAGCGCCTACTCCAAATATATTTTTAATTGTTAATTTTTCAAAGTAACACTTGCTATTTAATTAATTGCACACTAATTTTCTTTTAAAACCGCTTAAATGTATTTAGAATTTAGTTTCGACTTTCAAATTTGACTTTCCCATTTTCGCCTGTGGCGCCACCACGTGAAAAAACCATCAAAGAAATGACAGTTGTTAATGTTCAGTGACAAAAACAATTTTCTTTTAATTTCATAAGTTCTCACGGTTAATTTGACTTTTCCTAGACATGGTTTACTTATTAAGGCGTAAAATTTGATAAGAGTAACGTTTCTGATGGCTTTGGATATTTTAGGACAAGCTTGGTAAGTGAGGTTATGTTGTGTTTAGACCCCATTCCACCCTCAATTCCAGGAGTATTTCCCAAAAAGGCGAAGAAATAATCACCGAAAATAGCACGATAACAGACAAGTCGACGCTCTTGAAGAATGCGCTTAATGTAAGTAATTCGTTTATTTTTACACCTACTTACACCCACGGTTTTTTTAGTCTGATTTGAAGGAAACCGGTACCCCCGTTCTGACTAAAATCCAGAATAAAAATAGTATTTCTCAGGTTTGTAGCCACCAACTCTGACTCGTGTAAAGTAGTGTGCATTTAAGGTTGTGCTCCAAATTCAAAAAATTAGGAACATCGGGGCCCCCAAAGCCAACGAAAACTCCCACGTGGCCCCGCGTATGTTAAAACTAGTCCTGACAGACGGCGACAGCTACATTCAAGCGATTGAAGTTTCCTCCATATCTGCACTTAACCTAGACAAAACCCCTCCAGGCTCCAAAATCTTGATCCATTCGGCAAAAATCAGCTCAGGTTATATTCTCCTAGAATCAAACAACTGCTCCTTGTTAGGGGGCAAAGTTCCAGCTTTGTTCGAAAAGTGGGAGTTAGCCAGGAGTGTTCAGTACCACAACAGACAAACTTGTAAGACACTACAATTCTAACCTTCTTAATAATGATTATTGGCAGCGTCTAGCGATGGCCCCCCAGCTTGGGTAAACTTCGGTTGCAAAATCCAGTCAGAAATCCAGGACAAACCATTCAAGTCATTGGACAATAAATCCGCAGAATGCAAAGAAAACACGAAGTTCGATTTGCAGAGACAAGACGCGATAGCTGAGGCCACTTCCGGCGCGGTCAAGAAAGTGTTCGGGGGCGGCGCGAAACCGGTGCAACCGGCGCCGCCTCCCCGCAGCCGACCCGACTTTTCCGGCAAAGACAAAAAGAGCAAAACCAAACTCGGGGCGAAAGACGTAGACGAGAAGCCCCTGAAACCGTCAGAAAGAGTTTCGCTGTTCGATTTTCTCGAGGATAAGTTGCCCCCGAATGAGGCTAGCAACGGGAATGCGACACCTTTGGAGCCTGTCCGGTTCGTGAACGACAGCAACCAGCGCAGTAAAAATCGCACTTACCCAAAACCGGATCAGTATAACCCAAATAAAATCAAAAATGAGGTGAGACCACAGGCTTCGTTCAATAAAATAAACGAGAGCGTCAATGGGTTGAGCAACAGTTTCGAGAAAATGGCTTTGAATACCCAGTTCGCTAGCAGGAGTTTGAAGCAGCATTTAAATTTAGGACCGCAGAAGAAAAATAGCGTGGAGGATGCTGGGAGTATCATGTGGAAAGTGGGGGATGATTGTGTCGCTAAATATTGGGAAGATGGGAAGGTTGTGAGTTTTTGGAGTCTCAATGGGGAATTTAATGTGTGTTTTTAGTTTTATAATGCCTCTATTACTGCTGTCACTGATAAGACGTGCGTGGTCAAGTTTAAAGGGTATGGCAATATTGAAGAGGTGTTGAAGAGTGACTGTCTTCCAGTAGTTAGTAAAGAAAATAATAAAAAACCGCATTATACAGGTATTTTTTTTTTAAGTTGGTAGGAGTGATGTAAATGTCAAGTTTTAGGACCAACAGAATTTAGAAGAAGTGCGAGGACTTACAGGAGGCAATAGCCAGTCAATTATCAATCACTTACTTACCTGATGATATTTATTGTTGTTTTTTACTAATAAATATTTCTAAATCATTTTGTTAATTTTTTCGAACTAGTAGCTGGACCTTTCACTAAAGTAAATCAAGGTCAAGTGACTCCATTTTCCTGACTGTACACTCGTAATTTTTGTCGTGTGTGTACATTTGATTTTCCAGAAAACCTAACCTCACTTTTAATAAAAAATTTTAATCGGTGATGTTTTATTGATTTAAAGCACGATATTGGTGCTTCAGTCTTGATTACGTAGTCAAATTATGCTGATTTTAGTTCCACATTTGGGTCTACAGTCTTGTTTTGCTAAATTGACTTAAAGTGAGGTTAATTTGCTTTGGACCAACTAAGAAGCAGCTGATTTTAGCAGATTAACGTGAGAATGAGGTCTGGTTATTCAAGAGACATCACTTTTTCAAGAATATATTTATTGGCATTACTTAGCACAGTTGAAAAGAATAAATTAGATACAAAATTTGTTACTGAGAGAAGAAACAAGATGCAGCTATGCTACATTGTATAAAAAGATTAATTTAATTTAATTGGCTTATTTTATGTACTGCGAGAAGAAGATTGAATTTTATTTTCATAACTAGTGGAATCTAAACAAAAAAGATAAAATTAATCCCACACACCTCGACCTTTGAATTTTATCAATCTACGATTATAAAAAACTTCAAATTGACCCCACCCACCCGCCCCGTTTTCTTTTTGACTCCTCATTTTATTGGTGGATAAAAATGGATTTTATATTGATAAATAGTAAAATCTAAACAAAAAAATTGGTCCAAAGTTACTTTGCCAAAATTTTCCTCGCTTCTGAAGTACAGTCCAACAAATTCTTCTTCTCTGAGAAATTGTAAAATTTGATTTTGCGGAATTTTACTTTTTCGTGATAACCTCTATGGAGTAAAAACAATATAGAATGCACTAGTCAAAGTGTAATAGAAAAAAAGAAGTTTTCACCTTCTTAAAAAAGACAGTTGGAAGCCCCGAGAAGATTTAATCTTCTTAAAAAATGACTTTTGCAGGCCCCGAGAAGGTTTCACATTCTAAAAAAAAAAATTCATTTGGGGCCCCCGAGAAGGTTTTACATTTTTAAAAAGGACAGTTGGAACCCCGAGAAGATTTCACATTAAAAATGACTACATGTATTAAGAAAAAAAGGCAAAATGGAGCCCCGCCCACCCACCCTATCTCAATTGTGACGATATTAACTGCAAAATCCTTACTTTTCCTACGAAAAATTAAAAACATGTTTTTGAGAACCGTATTGTTTAAAGAAAACTACGTATATTAAGAAAAAAATAAAGCCAAATTTTAGGCCCCACCCATACTCGCCCCGATGTCAATTCTCAATTGTGATGAATTTTTCATTCGTTGTCAGATCGAGGGGTGGAGCCTAATTGCAAAATTCATATTTCCCTACAAAAATTTAGCATTTCAAACGTGTTTTAAGTTGCTACGAATTAAAAAAATCATCACTATTGAGATGGGGTGGGCGGGCGGGGTTTATATTTTGCCTTTTATTCTTAAGATACATAATATTTTTTGAACAACACGATACTTAAAAACATGTTTTTAATTTCTTGTAAAGAAATAAGAATTTTGCAGTTAAGCTCCGCCCTCTAGGTTCACGGCGAATAAAAAAAATCATCACAATTGAGATCGGGTGGGTGGACGGGGTTTACGTTTTGCATTTTGATTCTTAATGTACATAGCCATCTTTTCACAACATGAAACTTAAAACATGGTAAAATGGAAAATTTGTATAAGGAAATATCGATTTTGCAATTAGGCTCCGCCTTATAATTGCAAAATAAGTATTTCCTTGCAATAATATACTATTTTACATGTTTTAAGTTTCTTGTTGTGAAAAGATGGCTATGTATTAAAAAAAAAAGGCAAAATGTAAGCCCCGCCCACCCACCCTGTCTCAATTCTGATGATTTTTTTATTCGACGTAAGCCGAGGGGTGGAGCTTAATTGTAAAATCTTTATTTTTCAACGAAAAATTACCATGTGAAATATGTTTTTATGTAATCGTGTTATACAAAGAAAACTTAATGTATTAATTAAAAAATAAAACCAAAAGAGAAGCCCCACCCATCCGAAAATAATAAGATTGGAACATTGAAAAAACGAAAATTTGAGAAAATAAAGAAAATGAAAAACTGAAACGAAAAATTGCAAATAGAAAAATTGAAGAAATGAAAATTTAAAAAATGGAAAAACTGAAAAATTAAAAATGAAAAACTCGTGAAATTGCAATTCGAAAAATAGCGTGGAGGATGCCGGAAGCATCATGTGGAAAGTGGGGGATGATTGTGTCGCTAAATATTGGGAAGATGGGAAGGTTGTGAGTTTTTGGAGTCTCAATGGGGGGATAAGACGTGCGTGGTCAAGTTTAAAGGGTATGGCAATATTGAAGAGGTGTTGAAGAGTGACTGTCTTCCAGTAGTTAGTAAAGAAAATAATAAAAAACCGCATTATGTATTTTTTTTTAAGTTGGTAGGAGTGATTTAATGTCAAGTTTTAGGACCAACAGAATTTAGAAGAAGTGCGAGGACTTACAGGAGGCAATAGCCAGTCAATTATCAATCACTTACTTACCTGATGATATTTATTGTTGTTTTTTACTAATAAATATTTCTAAATCATTTTGTTGATTTTTTTCGAACTAGTAGCTGGATCTTTCAGTAAAGTAAATCAAGGTCAAGTGACTCCATTTACCTGACTGTACACTCGTAATTTTTGTTGTGTGTGTACATGTGATTTTCCAGAAAATCTAACCTCACTTTTAATAAAAATTTTTAATCAGTGATGTTTTATTGATTTAAAGCACGATATTGGTGCTTCAGTTTTGATTACGTAGTCAAATTAAGCTGAATTTAGTTTCACATTTGGGTCTACAGTCTTGTTTTGCTAAATTGACTTAAAGTGAGGTTAATTTGCTTTGGACCAACTAAGAAGCAGCTGATTTTAGCAAATTAACGTGAGAATGAGGTCCGGTTATTCAAGAGACATCACTTTTTCAAGAATATATTTATTGACATTACTTAGCGCAGTTGAAAAGAATAAATTAGATACAAAATTTGTTACTGAGAGAAGAAACAAGATGCAGCTATGCTACATTGTATAAAAAGATTAATTTCATTTAATTGGCTTATTTTATGTACTGCGAGAAGAAGATTGAATTTTATTTTCATAACTAGTGGAATCTAAACAAAAAAGATAAAATCAATCCCACACACCTCCACCTTTGAATTTCATCAATCTACGATTATAAAAAACTTCAAATTGACCCCACCCATCCACCCCGTTTTCTTTTTGACCCCTCATTTTATTGGTGGATAAAAATGGATTTTATATTGATAAATAGTAAAATCTAAACAAACAAACTGGTCCAAAGTTATTTTGACAAAATTTCCCTTGCTTCTGAAGTGCAGTCCAACAAATTCTTCTTCTCTGAGAAATTGTAAAATTTGATTTTGCGGAATTTTACTTTTTCGTGATAACCTCTATGGAGTAAAAACAATATAGAAGACACTAGTCAAAGTGTAATAGAAAAAACGAAGTTTTCATTTTCTTAAAAAAGACAGTTGGGAGCCCCGAGAAGATTTAATCTTCTTAAAAAATGACTCTTGGAGCCCCCGAGAAGGTTTTACATTTTTAAAAAGGACAGTTGGAACCCCGTGAAGATTTCACATTAAAAATGACTACATGTATTAAGAAAAAAAGGCAAAATGGAGCCCCGCCCACCCACCCTATCTCAATTGTGACGATCTTAACTGCAAAATCCTTACTTTTCCTACGAAAAATTAAAAACATGTTTTTGAGAACCGTATTGTTTAAAGAATGCTATGTATATTAAGAAAAAAATAAAGCCAAATATTAGGCCCCACCCATACTCGCCCCGATGTCAATTCTCAATTGTGATGAATTTTTCATTCGTTGTCAGATCGAGGGGCGGAGCCTAATTGCAAAATTCATATTTCCCTACAAAAATGTAGCATTTTAAACGTGTTTTAAGTTGCTACGAATTAAAAAAATCATCACTATTGAGATGGGGTGGGCGGGCGGGGTTTATATTTTGCCTTTTATTCTTAAGATACATAATATTTTTTGAACAACACGATACTTAAAAACATGTTTTTAATTTCTTGTAAAGAAATAAGAATTTTGCAGTTAAGCTCCGCCCTCTAGGTTCATGGCGAATAAAAAAAATCATCACAATTGAGATCGGGTGGGTGGGCGGGGCTTACGTTTTGCATTTTGATTCTTAATGTACATAGCCATCTTTTCACAACATGAAACTTAAAACATGGTGAAAATGGAAAATTTGTATAGGGAAATATCGATTTTGCAATTCCTTGCAATAATGTACTATTTTACATGTTTTAATTTTCTTGTTGAGAAAAGATGGCTATGTATATTAAAAAAAAGGCAAAATGTAAGCCCCGCCCACCGACCCTGTCTCAATTCTGATGATTTTTTTATTCGACGTAAGCCGAGGGGTGGAGCTGAATTGTAAAATCTTTATTTTTCAACGAAAAATTACCATGTGAAATATGTTTTTATGTAATCGTATTATACAAAGAAAACTTAATGTAATAATTAAAAAAGAAAACCAAAAGAGAAGTCCCACCCATCCGAAAATAATAAGATTAGAACATTGAAAAAACGAAAATTTGAGAAAATAAAGAAAATGAAAAACTGAAACGAAACATTGCAAATAGAAAAATTGAAGAAATGAAAATTTAAAAAATGGAAAAACTGAAAAATTAAAATTGAAAAATTCGTGAAATTGCAATTCGAAAAATAGTGTGGAGGATGCCGGGAGCATCATGTGGAAAGTGGGGGATGATTGTGTCGCTAAATATTGGGAAGATGGGAAGGTTGTGAGTTTTTGGAGTCTCAATGGGGGGTTTAATGTGTGTTTTTAGTTTTATAATGCCTCTATTACTGCTGTCACTGATAAGACGTGCGTGGTCAAGTTTAAAGGGTATGGCAATATTGAAGAGGTGTTGAAGAGTGACTGTCTTCCAGTAGTTAGTAAAGAAAATAATAAAAAACCGCATTATACAGGTATTATTTTTTTTTAAGTTGGTAGGAGTGTTGTAAATGTCAAGTTTTAGGACCAACAGAATTTAGAAGAAGTGCGAGGACTTACAGGAGGCAATAGCCAGTCAATTATCAATCACTTACTTACCTGATGATATTTATTGTTGTTTTTTACTAATAAATATTTCTAAATCATTTTGTTGATTTTTTCGAACTAGTAGCTGGACCTTTCAGTAAAGTAAATCAAGGTCAAGTGAGTCCATTTTCCTGACTGTACACTCGTAATTTTTGTTGTGTGTGTACGTTTGATTTTCCAGAAAACCTAACCTCACTTTAAATAAAAATTTTTAATCGGTGATGTTTTATTGATTTAAAGCACAATATTGGTGCTTTAGTTTTGATTACGTAGTCAAATTAAGCTGAATTTAGTTCCACATTTGGGTCTACAGTCTTGTTTTGCTAAATTGACTTAAAGTGAGGTTAAATTGCTTTGGAACAACTAAGAAGCAGCTGATTTTACCAGATTAACGTGAGAATGAGGTCTGGTTATTCAAGAGACATCACTTTTTCAAGAATATATTTATTGACATTACTTAGCACAGTTGAAAAGAATAAATTAGATACAAAATTTGTTACTGAGAGAAGAAACAAGATGCAGCTATGCTACATTGTATAAAAAGATTAACATCGGTATTAAACGTTATAAATTGACAAGTTACACTTTTATAACACAAAAATATGTACAGTAGACAAACCGATTTACGTTAAAAATACATGACTAGAGATTCAGTTTGTCCTGATTTGGCCAAGCGATTTTAGCGTCAGTTCTTTTATAAGCTAACATAGTATGCTTACTCCCAGTGATAAAATCCTGCGGGCATTCGTTATCCAAGAGCATGGTTTCTGAAACACCCAAAATCAGCCCACCGCTCACGCCCCCACCAACCCTACCTTCGCCATCCGTCACCCTATACAGCGCGTAATCCTGCGGATTCGTGATCCTCGCCTTGTGCGCGATAATGTTGCACACGTCCTTCGTGGTCATGTGGGGCTTCGCGGGCAGGGTCTTCGTCAGAATGGAGCCGTGCAGCTCGTCTGGAACCACCACCTTGAGCACCGACTAAAAATATAGACCTTAGTGTGAATATCATGAATTTTGATTAGGGTGTCGTACGTCGTTCTTCACGTGATTCTTTACATTCTCCACGCAACTGTCTTTGAAATTCTTAAGTACGTGAACTGCGGAAGACAGGGTGGTTAAGTAGTAGCCTCCTTCGCCGGAGAGGAGCGACGGGTGTAATAACCCCCACATGTACTCGGCTTCGATTTCGGCCGCTACGAAGTTGGTCTTGACGAGGACCCAGACGAAGAGCGGGAGGAAGTCGTCTGCGCCCAGTTGCACTGTCTTACCAGAGCCGGTCAGCTGACCCGTTTTCACCTACAATGCATTAATATATGAAGAATTTAGCTTCAGCTTCAGGGGGACTTACTGAGTTGAAGATTGTCGCGATAGCGGCTAGAAGATACTCCAACTTTTCCAAAGGGGAGTCCGCCGTCTGCAACCTTTGTAAGTACTGGGAAATGGTGTTGAGAGAGCTGTCGGAAGGCAAGGTGATTTTCGGCTGAAAGCAGACCCGAATCGCGTGAAAACGGAGTGCCTTGGGGGCGCCTGTAACGTCTCACCTTGATAGCCAACTCTGAGATGGGTCGCGTCGCAGCGAACTGGATATTGTCAGCCAGGAGTCTAATAGCCCCGGTTTTTGTGTAGTGATCAAGGAACAACTTCTGCAAATGCCCCTTGAGAGGTTTCACCACCAATTTGTGCATCACCCCCTCTAGAATGGCGTCCAAATTCAAAAACTCCGTCGGTTTGAGTTTGCTCCTCTCCCTTTCGATTTCTTTGTAGAACCCTTTCTCCCCGTGCTTCACTAGATAGTTCTTCATCCCCGACATAAACTGCCGCATATTCCTCATGATGATCTGCGGATTGGTTTCCTTCGACTCGCACGTGCACGCAATGAAATTGTCAATGTTTTGAGCAAACGTTGTGTTCTTGTCTTGAGCCAACTCCAACGCGTACGTCCTAATGGCAGCACCTACCGCTTTGGGACCGGTCTGTTCTCTGTTCCTTAACGCTTGTAAACGTGGGGCAGCTAAAACTAACCAATCAATCAACGACGACTCACCTACCGAGTACTCACAAAGTAACGGATCCAACCGATCTTTAAAACTCTTCGACCTACTTATCGACGCTACTTTTGTACTTTGATGGTTCATGATTCGCTCCGATATGGAATCGTCAGTCTGAAACAACTGCTACAAATTGGTACCGAACAACAAAGACCAAGTACCTCAGTATTCGTAACTCCTTGATTGAGTTCAGTCCAAGGTTCCGAAAATTCGGTGTGTTCGCTGATTTCGGAAGGCGGGGCTCGGGGTACCCTTCGGTCTTCCACGTTGTCGTACGCGGACATTCTACACAGTTCCTCGTCGGCGGTCAGTTCTGTGGAGATCCGGATATCGGGGAACCGTTTCGAGATCATGTCTTGGACGGTTATCCGGTCGTCGGGATCGGGGGTGTAGGGGTGCAAGGAAGACATCAAAGTGGGGATCAAGGGCCAGTCGGAATCGTAGTCTTGGTCGCTGGATTCCATGGCCACGTCGAAGTCGTTACCTACACACCAATTAGAGAAGGTCTAGACTCTAGAGGAACCACCTACGTACCTCTGAAGGTCCACCCGTTGTCGATCTGCCAATTATCGCTAGCTTTAGTCTTGATCGACGGGGGTAGTACCGGTTTGGCTTCCGGCTTGCGTAAACCCGGGAAGCGGTGCTTGGGGCTTAGATTGTCCACGGAAGAGGACATTACTAGAATGATTTTAACCTAGTTGGTACCACGAATGAAGGCCGACTTACCGTTGAAGTCTGACGACTCTATCCGCTCCAACCCGGGACTCAGAGGCGAATGGCTGAATAATCCCGGTGGATTCGAGTGTCTCTGCTGCATCGGAAGCATCGTCTTGGGTAGGTTCCTTCTGGGTACTGGTGCGATGGAATCCGCGGGTTCAGCATAAAACGGACTCCCTTGTTTGGGTATATGTGGACTCGCCATGTCCTCGATCACCGGTGATTGCACAGCCTTGGTATTCTGTACCGGGGTACTACAATTACTCCTATGGGACGACTCCGCCGGACTCAGTACGTTATTATTCGTGTGTTGTAGAAGATCAGGTGACGCCAAATTGCTCCCTTTCCCTCGATTCGTCGATTCGTTGGTCCACACGTCTTCGTAATCACTGATCTTATCCCCCAATCCACTCTTGTAGTAAAAAGTGGGGGAATCAACAATGTCACTTTCTTGATAATGTTTTGATAGTTTATGTTTGGATCGTTTGCTATGTCGGGCGGTTTTACTAGCTGATAAAGGCGATAACGTATCAGGAGATAAGAGACTGCTCGGGTCCGAGCTAGGCGAGAGGATTGACCCATTGGGTGAGAGAACTTGGTCGGTTGGCCGCCTCAAACTACCCTTCGATGATATGGTAGAGTTGCACTGTCCCTCGGGAGACATCCTCTTCGGGTCACAGTGCACCTCAACTTGCGACGGAGGTAAATCGTGCGGACTTTGCGTATTTACACTGAAGGTAACAGTCGTTGTAACCGTGAAGTTGTTCTGCGGGGTCGAAGGCTTCGACCATCTGGGAGGAGGCGGCGGGGGCGTCTTCGAAACCAACTCGTTCTTGGGTTTGATGGGTTCCTTATTGGGTTCGATGAAACTCATCAAATTCAGAGTGTTGGGCCGCGTGGGCTTACTGTCTTTAGTCACGGGAGTCGACGGCTCCGCCGTCTTGAACGTGGTCATCAGAGGGTTCAAGTTTAATACTAGGTCGGCGTCCGGGCTAGAGGCGGCGGAGGGAGGCGGACTGTACCTTGAGACAAACCACAGGTTCAAGTTTAGTTACGCGTGAGGTTACACGTACCTCCAGAACTCCTGCCCCAGCAGCGCCAGCGACGACAACTGCTGCCTCGTTTTGGCCTCCCGGATGGCCTTCGGGAGAGTCAGCTGCACCGGGAGCTCGTCGCAGCAGTTGGCGTAGTGGGCGATCAGCTCGGGCATGCTCCCGAACCGGTTCTCGCTGGTCTCCAACCCCAGCTGTCCCTCCGTGGACTGGATAAGGTAGTGCTCGATGTAGGGTCCCTTGTCTAGGGGTAGCCGCACCGACAGGGCCATGGTGTCGCTCTGAGACGACTGTCTCACCACAAAGCAGCCCTCTTCTTTCCCCTGGAGGAGGTGAAAAGCCCCCGCTCTCTGTATCCCCGGGAGGAACCAGATCGGATGCGACCTGATTAAACGCTCCGTCAAGCCGATGTCACAGGTCGCCCCGTAACCTAAGAAAACCGATTCGAGCCGATTCACATCAAAGGGTTGGCTACTGACCTGACTCTCCGCTGTCCTCGCTGCCGCCCTCCGAGCCGCCGTTCGACGACAGGAGGGACTCGCCGGAGGCAGAGCGCGAGGGCGGCGAGGACGAGTCGGGAACGGCGCGGCACGGGGGCGGCGAGGGGGACGGCGCGCCCACGCCCGGGCTCTGGCGGTCGCCCAACAGGTACGGCTCGAGGAAGGCATCGCTTCTGCAAAAGAACGAGGAGTGAGTCAAGGATTTTCATTCCTCCTTGTTTGTTCATTTTTGATTCGAATAAACGACGCTGCAAAACAAGTTCGGCCACCCTACTACGACTCGCCCGAACATAACAATGCTTTTAACCATTCATAAAACATATTATTAGGGAATGTGTATAATGGGAAGTCCAATAATCCTCGAGGGCTATACGGCGGAAACGGGTTGATTTATTAAGAGCGAGAGCACTCTTGTACGTTCCGAAAACAAGCTTTATTATGGAAATCGACAAAGCGGGCTTTCGATGAATTTATTTTTATTGTTGGAGGTAAAGATAATGAATTTATTGGGTGGATCGGAGAGGGCGAAGACTCGAGCAGTTCGGTCGTTGGCGATATTCGGGAGCTAAAAATAAAACTTATGCAACGCTTTTAACTCAACGACACTTTAATTATTATTTCGCCGTGGAATTTTTTCCTCTTGTTTGAAATTCCGGCTATTTATGTGGCTGTTTGCTTTTATTGCATCAGTCACAGTCTCTTGGTTGGGTTTATTTGTCGAGCGACGCTGTCATTTAAATTAAAAGGCGTTCGGTGTGGTATGAGGAAGAGGTTGTGGGAATTCGGACATCGATGCGTTATAATGGGAGGTTAAGAGCAGGCGCCAGAACGGGAGATATATTTAGATTACTGTAGTTTAAACAAATGCGCAGTTGATGCTGTTAACGTATAGGTGGCGCTAGATAAACTTTAAACATGGCCAAGCAAGATCTGCGTTGTTTTAAAAAAAAACTGGCCCGTTTTTTGAAATCCTCAGTAATTTTGAGTTGCGTACAAAGTGGATGAAAACCGTTCAAAATATTTGTGATAAAACTAATTTCACCCCCATCTTCACTTTTAATTTCAATGGGTTATTTTATGTACTGTGAAAAGATTGAATTTTATTTTGATAACTACGATTATAAAAAACCTCAAATTGACCCCACCCACCCACCCCGTTTTCTTTTTGACCCCTCATTTTATTGGTGGATAAAAAGTGGATTTTATATTAATAAATAGTAAAATCTAAACAAAAAAATTGGTCTAAAGTTATTTTGACAAAATTTTCCTCGCTTCTGAAGTACAGTTCAAAAAATTCTTCTTCTCTGAGAAATTGTAAAATTCGATTTTGCGGAATTTTACTTTTTCGTGATAACCTCTATGGAGTAAAAACAATATAGAAGGCACTAGTCAAAGTGTAATAGAAAAAAAGAAGTTTTCACCTCCTTAAAAAGACAGTTGGGAGCCCCGAGAAGATTTAATATTCTTAAAAAATGACTCTTGGAGCCCCCGAGAAGGTTTCACATTCTAAAATAAAAAAAGAAAATCATTTGGGGCCCCCGAGAAGGTTTTACATTTTTAAAAAGGACAGTTGGAACCCCGAGAAGATTTCACATTAAAAATGACTACATGTATTAAGAAAAAAAAAGGCAAAATGGAGCCCCGCCCACCCACCCTATCTCAATTGTGACAATCTTAACTGCAAAATCCTTATTTTCCTACGAAAAATTAAAAACATGTTTTTGAGAATCGTGCTATTTAAAGAATGCTATGTATATTAAGAAAAAAATAAAGCCAAAGATTAGGCCCCACCCATACTCGCCCCGATGTCAATTCTCGATTGTAATGAATTTTTCATTCGTTGTCAGATCGAGGGGCGGAGCCTAATTCCAAAATTCATATTTCCCTACAAAAATTTAGCATTTTAAACGTGTTTTAAGTTGCTACGAATTAAAAAAATCATCACTATTGAGATGGGGTGGGTGGGCGGGGTTTATATTTTGCCTTTTATTCTTAAGATACATAATATTTTTTGAACAATACGATACTTAAAAACATGTTTTTAATTTCTTGTAAAGAAATAAGAATTTTGCAGTTAAGCTCCGCCCTCTAGGTTCACGGCGAATAAAAAAATCATCACAATTGAGATAGGGCGGGTGGGCGGGGCTTACGTTTTGCCTTTTGATTCTTAATGTACATAGCCATCTTTTCACAACATGAAACTTAAAACATGGTTAAAATGGAAAATTTGTATAGGGAAATATCGATTTTGCAATTCCTTGCAATAATGTACTATTTTACGTTTAAGTTTTTTGTTGTGAAAAGATGGCTATGTATATTAAAAAAAAAAGGCAAAATGTAAGCCCCGCCCACCCGCCCTATCTCAATTGTGATGATTTTTTTTATTCGACGTAAGTCGAGGGGTGGAGTAATTGTAAAATCTTTATTTTTCAACGAAAAATGACCACGTGAAATATGTTTTATGTAATCGTGTTATACAAAGAAAACTTAATGTATTAATTAAAAAAAAAAAAATCGAAAGAGAAGCCCCACTCATCCCTCTCGATTTCAATCGAGATGAATTTTTCATTCGTTGTCAGACCGAGGGGAGGAGCGTAATTGCAAAATCCATATTTCCCTATACAAATTTACCATTTTAAACATGTTATAAGTTTCTTGTTGTGAAAAAGTCTACACATATTTAAACAAAAAGACCAAAAGTAAGCCCGCCCACCCGCCCAATCTCAATTGTAATGATTTTTTTATTCGCCCCGCCCACCCACCCTGTCTCAATTGTGATGATTTTTTTTATTCGTCTTTGGCCAAGGGGAGGAGCTTAATTGTAAAATAATTATTTTTCTACGAGAAATTACCATGTGAAATATGTTCTTAAGTAATCGTGTTATATATACTTTTGAATTTGGCTTACTTCTTGAATTTTACTTTGTCAAGTGTCGAATTTAACATTAAAAAAACTCCAAAGTGGACCCGCCCACTTCTTTTTCTTTGTGTTCAGTCATTTCATTGGAAGACGACTTGCTTTTGTACTGATAATTAGTGGAATATAAACAGAAAAGGTAAAATTAACCCCACCCACTTCTACTTTCAAATTTCATTGGCTTATTATATTTGCTGTGAGATGAAGATTGATTTTTATTTTGTCAAGTGTTCGAATCTATGATTAGAAGAAATTTCAAACTGGCCCCGCCCACCCACCCGGTTTTCTTCTCGATCACTCGTTTTATTGGACGAAACGTGGATTTGATATTGCTAAATAGGGAAATTTAAACAAAAGAGGTAAAGTAATCCCACCCACCTCCAGATTTGAATTTCATTGGCTTATTTTATTTATTGTCAGATGAATATTGAATTTTACTTTGACAAGTGTTCGAATCCACAATTATTGAAACAAGCGTCAAAGTGGCCCCGCCCACCCACCGGGGTTTTTTCTCGATCAATCATTTTATTGGACGAAAAGTGGCTTTTATTTTGATAAATAGAGAAATCTAAACAAAAAAGTAAAACTAATCCCACCCACTTCCATTTTTGAACTTCATTGGCTTATTTTATTGGATAAAAAGTGAATTTTGTATTGATGAATAGTGGAATCTAAACTAAAAAGGTAAAACTAAACCCACCCACCAGCACTTTTTAATTTCATTGGTTGATTTTATGTACTGAGAGATGAAGATTGAATTTTATTTTGACAAGTGACAATCTACAGTTATTAAAACAAAATTCGAAGTGGCCTCACCCACCTACCCAACCATCCAACTGAGATGGGGTGGGTGGGCGGGGTTTATCATTTTCCTTTTTTTTTCTTAATATACATAGTATTTTTTTAACAACACGATACTCAAAAACATGTTTTTAATTTCTTGTAAAGAAATAAGAATTTTGCAGTTAAGCTCCGCCCCCTTGGTTCACGGCGAATAAAAAAAATCATTGCAATTGAGACAGGGCGGGTGGGCGGGCCTACATTATGTCTTTTTGTTTTAATACGTGTAGACTACTTTTCACAACATGAAACTTAAAAAATGTTTAAAATCGAAAATTTGTAAAAGGAAATGTCGATTTTGCCCCATAATTGCAAAATCCATATTTCCTTGCAAAAATGTACCATTTTAACCATGTTTTAAGTTTCTTGATGTGGAAAGATGGCTATGTATATTAAGGAAAAAAAGACAAAATATAAGCCCCGCCCACCCACCCTGTCTCAATTCTGATGATTTGTTTTATTCGTCGTAGACCGAGGGGCGGAGCTTAATTGTAAAATCCTTATTTTTCCACGAGAAATTACCACCCATATCCATCCCAAGCTCAATGTGATGAATTTTTCATTAGTTGTCAAACCAAGGGGCGGAGCGTAATCCGTTCCACTCCACTTTTAAATTTCATTGGTTTATTTTATTTAGTGTGAAATGAAGATTGAATTTTACTTTCACAAGTGTTTGAATCTGCAATTATTGAAACAAACTTCAAAGTGGCCCCGCCTACCCACTCAACTATCCAATAAAGATGGGGTGGGTGGGCGGGGTTTATATTTTGCCAATTTTTTCTTAATATGCATAGTATTCTTTAAACAACACGATACTCAAAAACATGTTTTTAATTTCTTGTAAATAAAGAAAAATTTTGCAGTTAAGCTCCGCCCTCTTGGTTCACGATGGTGGGCGGGTTAACATTTTGACTTTTTGTTTTAATACATATATGCAGACATCTTTTCACAACATGAAACTTATGTTGTTTAAAATGGAAAATTTGTATAAGGAAATATCGATTTTGCTATTAGGCTCCGCCCCTATTTTAAACATGTTTTAAGTTTCTTGTTGTGAAAAGATGGCTATGTATATTAAGAAAAAAAGGCAAAATGTAAGCCCCGCCCACCCACCCTGTCTCAATTCTGATATATTTTTTTATTCGTCGTAAGCCGTGGAGCTTTTATTGGACGAAAAGTGGATTTTATTTTGATAAATAGTGCAATCTAAACAAAAAAAAAAAAAAAAACTAAAGTAAGACCACCCACTTCCAGTTTTGAACTTCATTGGCTTATTTTATTTACTGTGAGATGAAGATTTAATTTAATTTTGTCAAGTGTTCGAATTTACGATTGAAACAAACTTCAAAGTGGCGATAATGTAGAAATAATAATGATAATAAAAAATTAAAATATAAATACACTTTTCAGTTCAAC